CCCCACCGAAAAAAGTCGATTTTTTTGAAAAGATTAAAGTTTGCGTTTTTATCATGGGTAGCTAGGTGTCTCAAAGTCTTCTCTTTCAGAATATATATAGGTTTTTTAAAAAAGGTTCGATTTTAAGGGACTTATCGAAAAAATACTGAGCCGTACTGTCTTGTTTTTCGAGAAAAGACAAATGGCGGTAAGGTCATTTTTTGACCAAACTATTTTCTGAAAAAAATAGTTACATGGTTGGAATCAGTATAAAATTTTGAACAAAATAGTGTACTGTGGTTGGTAAAATCATTTTGTCTCGGTCACCATCCTGAAAAAAAACTTTTTTCCCGGAGTTTGATCTAGACATAGCTTATTCAGTACGCTGATCACGAATATAAGGTTTGTTTTCCGTAAGAATGTTCTCCGAAGAAAAAAGTGGCAGTTCTCGACACGGCCACGATTTTGTTTACCTTACTTCACAGATCGCTGTCTTGTAAGTAAAGAAATCAGTTCAAGAAAGAAGAAATACAATGAATATGTGCAGAAATGATAATTCTATCGATTCCATTCAATTGAATGGGTTAAAAGCAATGTTAGTTATGTTTATTAGGTTAAAATTTTGATTTCATACTCATCAGTATAGGCGCGTCAGTTGAAAGAATAGAGCTAATAGCAACGATCGTTTAAAGGCGGAGCGAGTTGATATCATTCATGACATCATCGAAAAGGTTCAGCATAAAAATATAACATATAGATCTTTTTTCGAGTTTAAACAAAAAAAATGTTTCTTAAACTTATTTATCGTTTTTCTCAAAACAAGGTTTTTTTGTCAGAAAAAATGAAAATAGCTTCAGGCGATTTAAGATAATAAGGTCATTTTTTATTATTTTGAAGCTTCAAGTGTAAGTAAAATTTTGTCCGAACAAATTTTTTATATTTGATTCCTGAACTTAAAAAAGTCGGATTCTACACTTACAGGTGGCCATTTTTAGCCAAATTTTGACGCCTATTCCAGTAAAATGCTTAAAAGTTACGTATTGGTGCTGGGTTTAATTTAAAGCAAGCGCGACTTTGATAGCTCTCCTACTATGTAAATACGCCATATTTTCGGCTCAATTCAATATATCGAGCTGAAACTTTTATCACGACGGTTTCCAATGAAGATTAGTCATCCATGAAAATTTCAGCTCAAAGGGACCTTTCTAAGTGACAACTCAGATCTGATGGAGGGGGCTGAATTCAATAGAAATGACACCGGTTAATCGTAGCACAAATAGATTTAATTTCTTTATTAGTTATGATTCATTGAAACTGAACTATTATTTTCATTTAGAGCAATTATGAGGCAATGATGAAAACTGTGGTTGAATTACAGAAGAATATAAAAAATATAACGCTAGGTGGAAATGCAGAAGCTCGTGAACGACATACATCGAAAAATAAATTATTAGTAAGAGATCGTATTGATAGATTACTCGATCCAAAGTTTGTTGATTTTCTTTCTTATGAAAATTTTGTTTCATTTTCAATTTTCATTTCTCAAAAAATCATAGTACACCATTCCTTGAATTTTCACAATTAGCCGGCTATCAATTATATGGCGATGACGAAGTTCCGGCTGCTGGTATTGTAACTGGTATCGGACAGATTCAAGGGTAAATGATTGAAACAAAATCAATAAAGTTATTAGAAATCGTTCTATTAGACGAGAATGTGTTATTATTGCTAATGATGCAACAGTTAAAGGTGGTTCATATTATCCAATAACAGTGAAAAAACAATTGCGTGCTCAGGAAATCGGACGAGAAAATCGACTACCGTGCATCTATCTTGGTACTATCTATAGACATCGGAGGAAATGCTTAGTTTCATTAGTTTTGTTTTCGTTTGGTTTTAGTTGATAGTGGCGGTGCCAATTTACCACGCCAAGCCGATGTATTTCCTGATAAAGAACATTTTGGACGTACATTCTATAATGAAGCAACAATGAGTTCCATGGGTATACCACAAGTGAGTAGATAAAAACCAACAACAAGAAACAGATATCTATTTTTGTTCCTATCTAGATTGCCGTTGTTTTGGGTAGTTGTACAGCTGGTGGTGCTTATGGTACGTTCAAAAGACAATTTTAATAATTAAATTATCGCGTGAAAGTCTTCAGAGTAGTACATTTAGGATTTAGTCGCAACTTTTATGTTGCTTGGAGTGATCATATCCGGAAACGGTTGTCTCTCAATGGGCTAAAAGCGCCAATTTATCGTGGGATGTTCCGTGATCATAGTCATTTTAGAGAATAGTCAGTTTTTCCTGTATAAAAACTATACAACTCCTCGCTTTCGCGATGTAAACTCTAGATTGAAGAATATTTTTCTTCTTTGTTGTTGTTTTCATTCTCTGAAGTAGACTTCATTGTTTCGTACAGTTCCAGCCATGGCTGATCAATCAATTATTGTTCGTCGACAAGGAACTATATTTCTTGCTGGTCCACCATTAGTCAAAGCAGCTACAGGCGAAGTTGTATCAGCGGAAGATCTTGGCGGTGGTGATCTTCATTGTCGGTTAGTAATCATTGTCATCTAATAAATATCTTGTATTATTTATAATAATCGAATGTAGTCAATCGGGTGTGACAGATTATTATGCGATGGATGATGCTCATGCTTTGCATTTAACACGACGTATTGTTGCAAATCTCAATTATGCCAAACCGCAACAAGTTTGTTGAAATTGAGGGTTTAATTTATATGTATTTCTAATTTGCTTTTGCAGGTTGTAATGAAGCCATCAGTTGATCCTTTATATTCAGCTGATGAACTGTATGGTATTGTAGGTGATAATCTCAAGCGAGTATTCGATGTTCGAGAAGTATACTGATTTCCATTGGTTTTCGTGGTTATTTCTTTATGCTTTGCTTTTCATTTAAGGTCATTGCTAGAATTGTCGATGGTAGTGAATTTGATGAATTCAAAAAATTATATGGTGAAACACTTGTTACTGGTAAAAAGAATAACTGATTAGACTTGTAGTAGAATTTTTTATCTGTTTGATTAGGATTCGCACATATTCATGGATATCCTGTGGGTATATTAGGTAATAATGGCGTTCTTTTCTCGGAATCAGCACTCAAAGGTGCACATTTCATTCAATTATGTTCTCAACTTAAAATTCCATTGTTATTTCTACAAAATATTACTGGTAAAGTGAACCCACAAAGTTGAAGAATTTGAAAATCTAACAGAATTCATTAATAGGTTTTATGGTTGGACGTGATGCCGAAGCTGGCGGTATTGCAAAGAATGGTGCGAAATTAGTTAATGCCGTAGCTTGTGCTCAAGTTCCAAAGATTACTGTGATCATTGGAGGTTTGTTCATAAGTATTAGATACAATAGCGAACAGCAAGTTTAACGAAAACGTATTTTTGATGGTTTTTCGTAACTGTAAAATTTTAGAGAGATTCTCCTGGATCTTAAAATTACTGTCTCGAGTTTTGCAAAAATTTATTCCTCAAAATTTTCTAAAATGCATAATACGAAGAACTGCAGTGACTACCGGAATCACTCTTAGCGACCAATAAGATATTCGTTCGCTAGATTCAATACATATTTTGACTTGGTATTTTCCAACTATATTTTGCTACACAGGTGAGAATAAACAGAATCACTTCTGTTTTTCTCCTCGACTCTCATATACGTCGATCAAGGTCGTTTAGCGTAAAACGAAGTAAAAATAAATGAAGCCTTAAGCCACTTGATAAGAAAAACTGTAAAAATCAATAGTTCAATCTCAACTAATTGTTAAACATCAAAGTTACGTTGTCGTCAAAATTTATTCTCAAGTAATGGAATTCTTCGTAACGTATATGTTTATTTTTAGGAAGTTATGGAGCAGGTAATTATGGTATGGCTGGAAGATCATATAGGTAATAGGAAATCAATAGAAGAATTTAATCTATTTTGTTTTTAAGTCCACGCTTTTTATATATGTGGCCGAATGCAAGAATATCTGTAATGGGTGGTGAACAAGCTGCTCAAGTTCTTACACAGATTACTTCCGAACAACGTAAACGACAAGGAAAACAGGTTCAGTGATCATTTTTTTCTCGTTGTTGTTTTGGTTTAATGTGATACTCTGTGTTTTAGTTCACGGCTGAAGAAGAACAAGCTATCCGTGAACCAATTCTACGTAAATATGATTTTGAAGGCTCACCATATTTTTCATCAGCACGCCTTTGGGACGATGGTGTTATTGATCCAGTAGATACTCGACTTGTTCTAGCTCTTAGTCTTAGTGCTTCTCTTAATGCTCCTATACCCGAAACACGTTTTGGCGTTTTTCGAATGTAATATGCTTTTGTTTTCTTTAAAAAGAAATAAAATTTTATACTTGAATATCAGAAAAAAGTGTGCACAAGCAGTTAGTAACCAGGTCTATGAGAATGATGTCTACTATGATGTGGGTAGCCACTAGGTGATGGATATGCCACTTGACGACCACTTGATTGATAATTGTTTGGATACGAATTTTGATAATATCCTTGATTATAATAATCATTAGGATCATTATAATTGCTGTATTGTTGTGCATACATTTCTTCTTTTGCACTGGAATACGCTGAACCAACTCGACGAACAGTTCTGTAACCTAAATAAGCAGCAATAGCAGCTATAAGAAGGTTTGCCATTTGTTGTGACTTTGTGTTGAAAAACAAAAATACGTCTGAAACTATACGAACGTGTATTTTGCGCTGCTATATATTTGACTACTCCTACCGTGATATCATTGAGGCATGACAATACACCACTCGTTAATTATATGAAATTAGATGAGAGAAACGAAACGAAACGAACGAAAAACAAACTTGTGTGCAAACAAAACTAAAAATGAGTCATGATATTTTAATACGTTTTCTAGTAAAAAGATAAAATTGTCACGCCAAACATAGTAGAACATAACTTCCGTTTATCGCCACTCTATATTCATATAGTTTGAATTGGATAAAAATCAGTTCCATTTTTACCAATAAAAATAAATATTTTGATATTATGCTTATTCTCAATAGTCGTTAGATTGATTATCCAATTCAGTATTTATTTCCTTAAAATTAGGCTCAATTTATTTGTAAAAAAGCTTGTCAGCGCAGCCCCGTCGGGGCTAAAATGTGGAACTCACATATTTCGGTCAGTTAGATACTGATCAAATAGAAGTTTTATTTTTTCAGTGTAGTGAGATCATATTTTGTTCAAAAATAAGATAATAAAACCCTTTTAACATTTGAAGTTTATTGGATCTATCAATAGGGAATATTACTAGAGAGAACGTATGAAAAACTTTTTGTTTAAAATATGCCAGTATGCTGAAGTGTTTAGTGGTTTCATCGAGAAATATTGTGAATGATAACAGTTTAAACAGTATTTAGGATATAGCTATCAATATTGTTGAAAATTTTATATTTTTTCGTATTACTAGGTGAGAAATTGATACATTTTTTCATAAACGAAAATTTGATAAAAGCTTCCCAGCGGATGGAAAAGTTCCGAATTGTAAATACACTAAAGTGGACTCAAGCTCTAGATTAAGGCATTTGTGTGAGAAAAAAGATTAAGATCTTCATCTGTTTATTGTAGGTGGTAGAAGTAACGAATGTAATAGTAGCATAAACTAGTTACTAGCTTCTGTAGCGGTAGCATACGCTGGTTGCGAACGTCTTTAATAATAAAAAAATATAATACTGTCGTAACTATGGGCTATAATAATAAAAATATGCGCTATTATCGTAACTATGGANCCCCCCCCCCCCCCCCCCCCCCCCCCCCCCCCCCCCCCCCCCCCCCCCCCCCCCCCCCACAGGGGAGCCGCAAAAACCTAACAATTCAGCTTACACTCACTATTTTCTTCGAAAATATATGTGAGTTCCACAAAATATGATTTCACAATAATTATAAACATAAAAAGCATATCAACAAAAATCAAAAATTCATGATCATGACAATTTCGTGAACAACAATTTAGAACGAGAGTAAGTCATTTGTACGTGTAGATTAATGTATACGAAGAAAAATAAGAATCTAAAGCAAATAAAAGTAGGAATATCAATTGTGACCTTATACAGAAGAAAAAAGCCAGCTAGTTGTGACATCATGTAACGCCATCATCCTCATTTATATGTGTTACACGCAATTGATTACAATATTTTTGGTAAAAGGATGCAATTAACATCCAATGATATTAGTGTTCCTGAGATACTTACAATGTACTTAAGAATATAATGGTTCAAAAACACTTTTTTTATTCGAGAACAGCATGACTTATCATTGCAATATAGCTCATGAGATCTATTGATTGAAATTTTGGTCGATGTATTTATTTGACTAATGGCATAACCCGAGAGTCTTTGAATGCATCTTTTTTGTTACATTTATGTCTATCGGTTAAGTAATTGTATAAAAAAATCTGTGATAATTGTTCGGGTTCAATCATAGAGAGCGACTTCAAATTTTTAGTTTTCGAGCAAACATTTTGGAAGGATCAAACTTGTTCGATAGAATACATCAAGCACAAAACGCTTGTTAATGCTACACATTTAGCTTTTTGTAATAAATTTATCGCTGGTTCAATTTTATAATTATAAGAGTAAAAACCACTGCAACGAATTTATTCTAGAAAGTAAAAACAACATTGTTTAGTTCCAGGTAGTTATTTATCAACATCAACAGTAAATAATCATTAGGCTAAAGTTTAGTGCCTGGAATGATTTCGATAGTATGTCATCTTTCTTGTTCCATCAACGAGGGTAAAACTTTGGCGTAATATTCCGTAGAGAAAAAGCTCCGATTCCTTTCTTGGAGAGCCATTAAAGACAAGTCGATAATACTATTATTAACACTAAAATGAATGTATATATTTAAAAAAAACTATATATGTCACTCAACTCTATAAATAGTATCTATCTCGTTTAGACAGAATACGTTATTTAAGAAGAAAGCAAAGATATTTCAAGCAAAGATTAGCATTCCTCGTTTATTGAGCAGTAAAATGAAGTAGAAAAGATGATTTTCTTCTTGAAATACTTCAATTTTATAGGAAGGATATTCCACTCGATGATGTTCTTTAGCTGACTGCCACATTGTAGAATGCAAATAGAACCACGCTTGACTGAAATCGTCGCATTTATTGTCATGCTATTCTCAAAGATTGATACCGAAAATCTTATCTAAGAATAGGAAATATTTATCAGCTGAGTACGTCTGAGAATAATATTCTCAAAACAAACGTTCAATAATAGCTTTTTATTCTCTGTGTTTCATCCTCGACAATCTCTTATTATATGCAGCATATTTTTTGTATATTCACTGTAAAAGTATTTTGTGGCTAAGAAGTGTCTCACAATGAGTAAATACGATAGTGATGTTCAGCTAAACTGCAAGATTCTTTGAGATATTGAGCGCGTTTTAAATTGTTGAAATTTTATAAAAATAAATGTGGAAACTTCGGATTTCATCCGAGAGTTATGTGTACTGCAAAAGTGCATGGGACATACGAGTCATTTTAGAATGCCTGAACACGAAAATTATTATGAGAAACTAGGCAATTTGATTTCTGGATGCAGTTTTTGTGCATTTTGAGACCTTTTTCAGGCGATGTTTCGTTAGAAGGCTACGATTTATTTCAAAACTAATATCAGATTCGGAATCAGCGTTAAAAACTGAGTCGATTTATATATGTTGTGAATAATTCTGAGAAAAATTTGTTTTTTGAAAAAAATCCCTGTACTCCTCCTCAGGGATGGCCTTATCAAAAATGACAATTTTTTCGATAACTCAACTATTTCTTGAGAGATCCTTCTCATCTTCGAGCTCGACCGAGATATTCATGAGATTGAACTGTGTGGAAAATTTCAGGTCAATCGAATGTAATTGTGAAGGCTTATCGAATAAACGGCCGGACGGCCGGACACACCGATCGATTCTATAGTGTACTCTTTTTCTTTTGAGTACACAAAAAGTACATTACAATATCAACTTTGGAAAAGCAATCACGAATTTCATTCCTAGGGTGAACTTAATTTTGTCTCTTTATAATATCAGATGTTGCCATAGTACGATAAATGAAAAGAAAACAGTAAAATTCATCTAAAAAAATCTTCGCCTCCCTTGACAATTGTTAAATAAAGTAATCGAAAGATTAACACGCTCTAAATATAACAAAATTTTATGAAAAAATGGATAATAAAACAGTCTCCTGTCTTTATTGATGTTTCATTATTCAAACAACATGATTGCCGAAGATATTTTTCATGATTTGAAATGCAGCAAAGTTTTTAGAGAGAAAAATTACTCGTAAGTCGTCGTTTGTAATATGGTTTGTTTAACGTTGTGCTTAGTATTACTGCCAAATCAAATAGATGTTCGTGTCGCCTCTAAATTATTTTACTTTGATAAACACTTTCGCCTACAACAGACTAAATATTTCATCATGGCCTATATCAGGTGTAACATACCTGCAGATATTATTTCCTAAAATATTCCAACAGAAAAGTTCAATGAGACATACCGAGAAGCATGTCTTTCTAAAAACAGACTATGCAATGAATCCTTCTTTCGAGGTCAATTTTATTTTGATGTCAAAATCAGCTACAATCGGGTCTGTTTTTTATGTAAATCGAAACAGATGTCAAGCCATGAAAGCAAATATTAGTACTAATGACAAAATGAATTATAAATAATACCCTTCTCAAGTAGTACGCAGTCCACTCCAGCTGAATATCTGCATTTAATTTCATCTATTTAAACCTTTCATGATATATCAGAAAAATATGATTTTGTTTACATCAATTCTATTAGTGGTGTAATTTTGATGATTGATCAAAGACGGCACATGACTATTGCGCTTGAAACGAAAATAATCACGTATATTGTGAAACTATTCTAATAATTACGCGTGCGCTTTAGAACAATATAGATCCATCGTCCTCGGTTGATCTTCAACAATGCTACAATTATTCATATGCTTTTCAATCAACTATTCCATTTATAGAATAGAAACGGAATATTATTATAAAAATAATAAAATCATCAATCAGAAGAAAAATGACAACAATGGAACTACAAAAGAAGTTCTCTGAACACACACAGTATAATCATATTTTTTTCATGAATCTTATCTTATGCTGCATCATGCAATTTTTAAGAAATATTTTCCTACCATTTGAATAATAAAGTTTTTATTAGACTATATGTGACCTCATGCGACTGTCACTTGCTTGGATGCTAAATAATGACAACGTTTAAAGTTCTCCTAAGCAAACACACGCACTTGACAAACGAAGGATGAATACACCTTAAAAGAATTATTTATTTTATCGATGACATGCAAACCGTTTTACATTGAAGACAAGTTTCAACAATTGCGAATTCACAAAAAAGCCCTTTAGTCGCGAAGAAATGTTTGATACGTAATGTAATAGTAGTTCACTGTAAAAGTGATTGCATTACGAGACATAAAGAAGAGTGGAAGATCAATAGAGATCTTCTCTTCTTTTTCATTCATTTATTTCTATTAAATAGTGATGGCAACAAAATTTTCCCGTTCGATTCACACTCTGTTATGATGTGCGGTCGATAAGTACATGAGCATTTATAAAAGGAAAATGTCTCAAGCGCTCCTCTTGTCTATTTTTTTATCCTCTCAGTTCTTATGATATTCATGTCACAGATGACATGATAATTTCAGTTGAGATTGGAATGCCCGAAAAAAATAATTAATCGAAAAAATATATTTTTCTTCTTTATTTCTGCTCGTGATAATAGATTCTAGAAAAACAGAATAGAGAAGAAATATTTCTCAGATAAACTCAATGTTCCCATGTCCACATAGTTTAAAAAACATTCAGAGAGTGAATTTATCATTGAAAGATAAAAACACAAAATTTATTTTTCTCCGATAAGTTCAATGTCCCCATAGTTTAAAAAATAGACATAGTTGAATTATTTAAGAAATCATTGTAAAAAGATGCAAGGAATAATCCTCAATATAAAAATTTCTAAAGTCAGATCTCAACAAAAATTCTATTAAAAAAATTAAGAAAAAACCTATTCCAAACTCGCCTGCTATATATATACGTCGTCACTAAAGTTTTCTTAATTTTTCATCAGTTCCATATTTTTTTTAAGGAAATCCATCAAATTACGAGCAGAATATAGAACAAAGATGAAGTATTGCAGTTTTTATTTTCTTCATATAACTGGTTCCATTAAAATTATAAAACGGTGTGCGATTGATATTTTACATTAGCACGTTGCTTTTGTTCCACTTTTATTATGAATACATATCCATAAATAAAGAATGATCATACTGTTTTTTTACATTTCATTCTATTATAGATAATCAATGAGCATGAACGTAACGTACGATTCAAGCCGCGATCTTCGACGTACTCGATTAATTCTTCTATTGACACTGTTTTTTGTTGGCTTAACTGGTTGTTCATTAGTTTTAATATGGCTAATACGTTATACACGATGGAATGCACGATCATCTCGTATATGTTCACTTATTCTCAATTTAATTATGGCTAATTTATCCGTTTATATATTTGCTACTGGCGTACAAATATATTGGGAGTTTCAAACGAATCGACAATGGCCATTTAATGATCTACTCTGTAAGTTATTGAGTACGGACAAAAATCGAATATAAAACACTGATTTTGTACTTCTAGGTCGACTTGTGAAATTTTTTCAAAGTTTTTCTATTCTATCAGCAACATATATTGTTGTTGCCATGGCCATTGATCGTTGTATTGCTATTGTTACACCATTAAAAGTGAGGAAAATTCGTGTAAGTACCATCAAAATAAATTACAAGAAGTTAAAAGTTCAACTCATTTGTCTAGGTCTTGTATCTATGCGGTAGCGCCTGGACACTTGCAGGTCTTTTATCAACACCGAATATTTTTATATTTCATTTACAAGTAAATGATACAGTTCGTCATTGTACGGCAATATTCAATCAGCAATCATCTCGTACGGGACGTCGGGTTTATTTGACATTTATTTCACTTGTCGTTTACTTCATTCCATTTCTTGTTGTGGTATTTAGCTATTCATTAATTTTTATCAAATTATTATTTCATGAACTTGACCAACGAGATTCACTTATCAGTCTTTCATCACCAGCATCAGCATCATCAGCATTTTTATCTTGTTGGTCAAAATTATTTAATAGGAATGACTCGACAGTCGGATTTCTCAATCCAAATAATCATCTGCGACCTAGAAATTTATCATCGAATCATTTATATATAGAACAAAAAGTAGTAGATAGATATACGAAAGCTCGATCAAAAACTTTTCGTATGGTAAGTTAAAAAAAACCTAATAAAAATGTTGTTTCATAGCTTTTTTTGTCTCATGCTTTAGATTATTGTACTTGTTCTATTTATGATTATATTTGGTGCACCCTATTATTGCTTAGAATTATATGTTGCTTATACTGGTCGTCAACCATCCGATACAATATTAGCCTTAGCTGGTGGTGCAGCTGTCGCACCGTCATCAATAGATCCATGGATATTTCTTTTATTTTGGGTGAACTGGAGTGAACCCGCCGTAGCTAATAATCGACGAAAATTAATTAATTTAAATTTACAACAGCAAAATTGGTCTCAATCAAGACGAAACAATCGATTCAATACATTTCGTACATCATCGGCAGCAAGTAATCTAAATCAACATGATATTCTTGTTTCAAATTCAGCCCGTTCATTACCGTTCAGTGTTAACAACTTGTCGAAACTTGAACTATGACGACTCTAACAGATGAATATAGTATAATCAATGAAATCGGCATGCGTTTAATGTAATATCTAAAATATATTAACATTGCCTAACTTAATACAGTAGTGTAGTATCTACTCTGGTGAAAGGATGCCTTTAAAAAAATTGTTATCTAAATTTGTAATTCCACATCTTTTAAATCAATTAAATATCTGAATTAAAAAATGTTCTGTATTTTAATTCAATATATTATCACTTTTAACAAATGACTATCAATGAATTTATCGACTTGTCTAATTAATTTGAGTGTAATCTATAATTGATAAGTACTTATAAATTAATTGAAAGAGTATATGTGAGCTGGGAATGACGACAAGTGATAAGAAAAAAGTTAGCTTAAAAAATGTCTTGTGTGGGGTAAAGGTGTAAAGAGAAATAAGAACACCCATACTCGCACTACGCACCCTCAAGACGTTTTTCTATTACTTTAATAATTAATTGTATATAACTTTGCGTTGTTAAGTAGTGTTGTTTAATAAATTAGATACAAATAAATTTTAAAATTAGGTATACCCAGGTCGAACATTCCGGTCACCGGATCCTGTAGGATACTCCAGGGAATATGCGGGAAAGTCACCATAGCCTGCAGGAAAATACGGGAAATCGCTGGAATATGGAAGCAGTATTCCGGTCAAAAATACGGCTGGACTTTACCGGAGAATTCCTGCCAAGTTCCGGTGCTTTCCGGCAGGAATTGATTGGAAATCACCATAAAAAACGCTAAAAATTTCCAACCGGAATATTGCTTCCACAAAATCAACGGAACTACCCGGAGCCGGCCGTTTCCAGGCCGGATTGTTCGACCTGAGTAGATTGCTATATTTTTAGGTATTGGTTTATATTTACCCGAATGAAATATATATTCATGTTAAAACTTTGTTTTCTACAAAAAACTAAAACATAAATAATAGAACAAACGAAGGATGAATTATGATAACAAAAAAAAACCCGCATCATTTGGTCAGTTTTCCTTTCACAGCATCTTTAAAGAAGAACACTGGCATAGGTATATCACTATATTCATATTCGACTTTTGAATAAAGATTTTTCACCGAATCAAAGTAATTTGTAATTGGTTTAAATCGACAACCATCACCAATGATAACCCATAATGGTTCAATTGTTTTTTGTAATCCATAAATGAATGGATCAGTTTGAGAATCAGCGATAACGTGTTCAAAGAAGATAAAAGTTCCACCTGGCTTCAATACTCGATGAGCTTCAAGAAGAACTTGTTGTGGTAATGGATCTGGTATGCTGCATAAAACTAAAGTCATAATAATTGTATCAATAGTATTCGATTCAATATGAAACATATTTGTTGCTGGATTATTTGAGAGACGAACTCCAAATGAAATATCCCACTGTTGAATAAAATTATAAAAATATGAATGCATCTCAACGTTAGGTTCAAGTCCCGTATATGATTCAATATTTGTATTATTATATAAACATGGAAAATTTATTCCTGTGCCAGCACCAATTTCTAAGATGTGACCTTTGACATCAGAATGTCTTAATAATTGATTACATCGTAAATTCATCATAGCAGGGTCATTAATATTGGACACTATATTTTTAAATTTTGCAAAAACTAAGAAAAATACTATGAAAACATAGAATTCAATGAAATATTTTAACGTACATTTTTGTCGAAAAACTTCGTCTATTTTCAAATAACCAATACCGATTGCAATTAAAGCAACTATGAAAGATAAACTTCCGAAAAGAACTTTAATACAGCGACCCATATCTGAAAGAAAATCAATTTTTATGAAACCAACAGAATGACTTATTCTATGCACTATAACGAACTGTATGCAAAGAATTACAATGGTATCTAACAGTAGATATAACGAGCAAACGAATACTTTGAAATAGAAGTACGTTGTTCTGGAAATAATTTCTACCAATCATAAGCGTCAACAGTTGTTCGTGCGTTTTATCTTAATACATTGTAAAGGTAGCATTTCGGTTTGTGCGAAAGTAAATAGCCGCGATGATTCATTCATTAAAATTGCAAGATAAGTACGTATATGATGATAAGAATCAGTCATGTAACGTTCATAAAAATACACGCTGCATTTTTGAACAAAATAGTTCTACGAATAAATATAACTCATCGAGTTCGATTTGACAGTATCGACAGATTTCATATTAAATATCTCTAATTTTAGCTAACTAAATTCACTAGAATTTCATGTTTATATTAAAGATTATTGTTTATGGCGCATTTAGTATTGACAACATAAGAGAGACTAAGAGTTCGCTTAACACATGACGTCTACCGTAGAGAAAATAATTCACCAGTCTTTCTATTATTACAATGAATAATTTATGATGAATGTCTCATATGAAGACCAACAGATGACCCTCATTTTAGAGTTATTTATTGACCACATTCTGCTCTATATATGAGTTTATCGGATGCGCAAAAGAAAATATTGAAGACAAGAATAATTATAATGGTATAGTTTTTTGCTGCCAAATTATAATTTAGACTTTTAAATTTCATTTTCATCCCTGTAACTCATTCTACGTCTTAACTGAAAAGTTTCAGTTAATGATTTGCATCGTGTTTTGACTGTGAACATATTTTTTCAATCAGCTCATATACTCATTCCAAACAAAAGTAAATAATTGTTGACTGAAATGTTGTTTAACTGTAGAACTAATGAATCAATCGTTCTATTCAACTCCTCGTGTTCTTCAAAACGTGCAATAGTCGTATTCATGATAAGAAAAAAATATCTTATCGTATACAACATCGAATCGCCTTTTATACGCATACAAAAAGAATCAGTGGTGCATTCGATTCTAACGAATGAGGCTTTTTCTAAATTTCAATAATTTTTCTCTATCATTTAGTCTATTCACTTTTTATTTTTCTAGTCTTTTGTTGAGATTTGTATTTTGAAAAAAATATTAAAATCAATATTCGATTATTTTAGGGATGAAAATTATGTAGGCAGATTACTTTGGCATATTAAAATAATCTTACTCAACATAGAAAACACATTTGATACTCTATCTATCGATCCAAAAGTTACCAAACGATTTGAAACCAGATAAATGCATCAGGCATATTGTGCCGTCACGCTTGTTTGAAGATGGACAACGAAAAATATTTCATTTCTAACAAATGAAGAATAATTTGACCTGAAAAAAATAAAGCAGTTATCCGTTATGGAATTATTCGCTCTTAAACTGCTGACATTTGCTGTTTGACGGTTGCATGTGCGCATTGGACGCATCTGTTCTAATTCCACAATATATATTGTGATTAGAGCAATGCTACCAATGTATATCAATTTGTGCAAACGTAACGGTGTTACACTGTTTTTGTCGATCAAATTCGGGTCACTTAAAATGCTCAGGTCTACTAGATTTTCACACTCATTGATCTTTTCTCTGCATGTAGCCTGTGTACAGAAAGGTTACCTTGAAGGATGGTAGTCAACATTTCCCCAAAAAACATTCTCTGTTTGAGAATTGAACATACAATTTAGGATGATAAAATTCCATTTTTTTCCTCAAGAAAATATATGCATTCAATGATGCGCAGAAATCTCTCTATTTCGAAGAAAAAAGTTTCAAAACTTGGTCAGCGAAGTGTGACACTGCCTACCTCATTGAGTGTTTTACTTTTCCATCATTCATCGAAACGTCCATATGGCACTGTCTGTACAGATGACATGTTATTATTCACCGATCACTGTATAGTTGTGATGCATATTTCATGATTTGATTCTATTCCATTAAGCGATGTTGTCATTGATTTCCATTGCATGAAGCTTGTTAAGTAGGTAAAATTCTAGTATCGCGCCCTCTGTTGCTTACATCGATACAGACATATAAATCACACTAGTCCGTACACACATTCAACACGCAACAAAAACATCAAATACATTTTGCCATCAATATGAGCACCGTTAGTCAAATAGATATTGATCCCACCATAAATCTGCTCAGTATTGCTAGCAAAAATGTACCTATGCTACTTACTACAATATTTAAGATAGGCAAACAAATTCCTTCAAAAATGTTTGCAATGCATTAATACTTTTAATAATGTTAGCCATTTGGCACGACTGAATATGGAGCAACAGAGATTATTCTTTGGAATTTTAAGAATTCGAAAATGAATTTACTCAACATGCCTTTGATCTTAATGTAGGCGTTGGACTAATGTTCATGCTTGCGAATGAGCAACACAACAATCGTGCTCGAGTAAAGGATCTCATCGGCTTGCAACAATGCAGAAGGTCTGTATCAGAGAATCATTATCAGATGTGTTATCCACTATTGTCATTTTTATTTTGAATGTAAAATATATTTCTGTCTGGTATTTGGTAGTATCGACATCGTTCAAATGGTAAATGGTGTGATGTATGTTGTTCTGAACTTATTTTCGATTCGAATGTCGCAACATTTAAAGGCTTTGGAGAAGATGGGCATGGTGGTGGATGGGAGTTTGGACCTATGTTGATTGAAGCATTTGATGTTTCAAAAGTGTCCCTTTGAAAACTAACTTGGTTAAAATATGTTTGCTGAAATAGAGATTCAGAAAAGTATGTTTAAAAAAGTAGAGTATTCTTTTATATCTGATCGAATAGCCGGGCCAAAGCCTTATCTAGATGAACACTACTTCATGTCATCAAAATATGAGTATTCGAGTGGAACAGTTCTCATTTTTTATTTTGACGTTCACATGGAAAATAATGTAAAAAGCACGCTTTGTTAGACGAGAAGATTCTCATGTAACGCAAATAGTTTGAGCCTATTTATTATGTAATGTTATTATGTTAACTTTTACATTGTTCCTATCTGGCATGATATCCGGTCGATGAATGATTTGTATGTTCCGATGAAAAAAACAGTGAACGTCAATAGACGTGTGTTGCAGTCAAAGCATTTATTAAACGTATCAGCAAAACAAAAAATACAGCTTAGAATCAAACATAGTCTATACTATTCCATTCAATCTTTGCAATTATGCCTACTGGTGAAATATTCCAGATGCTAAGAAACAGTAAGTCTTTATAGAAAACTAACGGTCTATTGTTCTGCATATTCTGCAATGCTTAGATTGTTCGATCTACGATCCGTGCAGTTCATATGGCTACTGTTATGATGATGACGAAGGTCAATGGGCTTGTGAATGCAAGTTTTGGTGGGAAGGAGCTCTATGTGATCAACGTTTGTTATATTATAAGTTTCTTTTCTTCGCCGATACATATATTGTATTGATTTTCGTCTAGAATCAAGCAGTGGCACACAAGTGATTGCTCTGGGCGTCATATTAGGATTCATGATGATCGTTATATTTGGTATTCGTTTGAATCGCTACTTGAAAAAGAGGCGTAAAACTGTGACATCAAAAACTCAATTCAAGTAAGAGATTTGATTATTGAAATGAAATTGAATATTTTTTTAATTGACTATAGATGCAAAGACATTAAAATAAATCAAACTTCTTCGAAAGAATTATCGAAAACACGTTATCCTTCTCATAAACTCTCTCGTTTTCTGATGGGCCTAAGTACTGTTTTACTTTGTTTTTTAACTTTGTCAATCAAGTGGATTCTGCTTAAACCAATTCACATTAGCATGACTGAGAAACTACATCAGCGCCTACCTCTCTTCTTTCAACAACATGCCCTCTGTCCAATCATTGAGTTACGCAAAGAATTCAATATTATAACGTTTCCAATAGCCTGTCTCTTGATATTTATGTTTGCTATGATGCAGAAACGGAATCAATCAAAAACGAAACGTTGGTTTCAAGTTTATGGAGCTTTGCCCATACCCGTGGATTTTTTTGCTCATGTCAAGCGAACATTTTCCGCAGTTATCTTTGCTATTTATGCTGACGAATTATTACATATTGCAAATGAATTGATCAGCGATGACGATACACCATCAGATCAAGGTATTTTCGTGTAGAATACAACTTCAATTAATTGTAGCGTTGAGGAATTTGTTTTTTTTTTGTTTCGTTCCAGGAGTCATTTTGGTTTATGTGCTACAAATTACTAGAGTTCTCATCATTGGCCTTCGACGTTATCCTATTCTTGCTGCTGTCTATTTGAATACAGTATTCACTTTATTGTGTGCAACTCTATATGCTTGGTTTGATTTTGCCATCGCTATATTTCACAGTAGTTTATGTCAGAGTGATTTTTATCCAACTGACAAAAACTTCAATAATACTGAAGGACAACAATTGATTACGAAATTTAATTACTATGGCACTGGTATGAAGCTGCTCTATTTCCAGTTGGGTACAGATGTTCCTCAATATTTATGTCTGGCTTATATTAGTATCAAATTACCAGTATTGTTATACAGACGTATTCGACGACCGAAGGAAACCATCGATGGATTGACGCGTGAACAAGAAATTTTGTTGTATTCTTCATTACCTCATTCGACAGAGACTCAGTATGTGAGAAATTTGTTTGGAATAATAGTGATTGGCCCTTCCAATCATCGATACGCATGGATTTCTCGATACATTTACCGTTGGCGAGATGACTTTCGATTTTCATCACGTGTCCTCTCGGTTTATGCATCTGTTTTTCTTCTTCTCTTTTTCATCACAGTTCAGGTCAACCAGTTTTTTCAATTGCACTTCGCCTGAATAAACATATTTTTGCTTCACTGTAATATTTTCCTTTCGTTTAGATGATTCTTCATGGTTTGCCATTATTGCATGAACTGCAACAAAGTTTACAAGCATGGATCGATTTCATTATCAGTGCGATCAAGCCACCGCGAGAAAACTCGGCGCAAAAGACAAAATCAGAATTTCAACTTCCCGATCTTATTCAAGTCTATCTGATAGCGATCACCATTACTTTGACGATTATTATCAATCAGTTGTTCGTTATGCTTGTTGCTATTCGTCGAAATCTTCTACAAGCTTTTCGTGGAGACGATTGTGAAATTCCACAACGAACGCCATCAGACAGCATAGAGCAAACTGGTAGTAGTGTTCATTTTGCTGGCTACTTTATCGGATATCTTCTATGGGGCTACATGCTCGTCGGAGTTCTAGCAATGATCATCGCACTGATTGGTTGCTCATTTATTCGTTTCGGTAGTGTTCGTTTCGTTGAATATATTCTTAAAAGTGCCATTCCAATTTTGTTAATTATCGGCTTTAAAGGTTATTTGAACGATCTTCTATCTCAATATGTCTTTCTACACCAAGATGGCAATACTTTGTCGTTGAAAAATCGTCGTCTATTTATGGTGTTTGTTTATTTTAACTTCTTCCTGGATGCTTTTCTTGGTTTAATTTCTTCAATAACCCGTATTGGACGAAGTATCATTGGTGGCATTCTTTACATGTGCCGTTTGGATTATGCAACGACAGGAAGAAAGTTAGAAACAATGGACGAAGGTTTCAGTGCCTATTGTGGTTTCATTCATATGGAGTGTGCTCATCGGCATCCAGTGATGCTATTTTTTGCCAGTCATCTTCTGCGACAATATCTCGGATCATCTAAAAACGTATCTCGAGCACGCCATAAATGGCATTTAGTGGCGTTTTTATTAACTAATCCAATGTTAATCTACCGACGAAAAGGATATCTTGCACGATCTCATATAGCTGAAAAGCACTTAATGTTAATGGACCTGAAAAGATCTCAGACGGACTGCATTGAACAACCAACCCACAAAATCAATCATCATGTTAATATCATCTCACAAGTTGATATGAACGATTTTATGCAACAGCAACAACATTTTTAATGCTACTCGTTGTTGTTTTCCTTTTAATTCATATCTTCAATAAAAGAACTCATCGATGGTATAATTTCGACAAGAGATTTAATTGAAAATTCATGTCCCCAGGAGAATGAATCCTAGCCTAGGATCCGATGAGTTCCGATCGATTCCTATTGGAATCCGACGGAGCTCTTCGGAAGGTGCGAGGAAACTATCGGATTATCGTCGGATTCCTGGTTCCGACAATCGGGTATCATTGGAAATACGACTGTCGGATTCGACATTGATTCCTCAACCAGGAATCCAACGGGATTTCGTCGGATGGTAGGACCCCATAGAATCCGATGGGATTCGGTATCGGATTGATTCACCTGGGTCTATGATTGAACATAGCAAGACTTACGTTACTTTTATCAGCTAACATTTTATTTTTTGAATATCTGATAATTTTCATATAGAAAAACAGATAAAAACTAAATAGATATATTGTTTTTAAATGCTTCCGAGCGAAAGAAATAGATATTCATTTTTTTAGCGCTACAATCAATGTAAAAAATGTTATAACTGACATAATATTTGATACTAAAATTCTACTAACATACAATTTTAAGTAAACGAAGAAAAACAACGCATAAAGTCAGCCTAAAATCGTAATTGGTCGATGGACTACTCGTATCATCTGTGCTAATGTTGTTGATTGGCTGGTTACTTTATTTGCATTCTATCACTATTTTTTTCATTTTGTCTTTGTCTCAAGACAATCATGTGGGTCAAGCCTTCAGAAATTCTAGTAAATTATAACTTACATTTTTTTCCCAAAAATTTGATATCATATCTTATTCTATGTTTATTATTAGGTGACCGGATTTTGGTAAAGTCATTCATTATTGTCATTTTCATATCTTTGATTCTATGAATATCTAATATAGGTCTACGGATCGAGCGAATCCGTATTTTGCATTGCAACGTCGTCGTGGTCACGATGAACAACAAAGTGGTTTTGCAAGTCTCTTTGTTGCTACGATTGATTCTGTGTTAGATAGCAAAGTACGAGATAACTATAAACAACAATGTTTATGAAATATTTTTCGTAGACAAATCGCTATCGAATTCTTCATCAACGACCTGATTCAGAAGTTTATCATTGTAAATTATATGAAAATATATGTCGGTCGAATTGATTCATTTTTGTGTTTAGTAATTGCTGAAGCAGATTCTAGAGAAGAAATTGAAGAACATTGGAAATGGATTGAAGAACATTTAATGCCAACACTTGGTAAACGAATCAATTGATTTTTTAAACTAATGTAATTTTTTTCAGGAGGAATTGATGCCGGTATTGATGTTACTGATTATGTGGAATGTAAAATAAAAAGTTTATGTGCACAAGTAGATGAAGATGAAATAGATGGTAAAAACTCCAAACAAAAAAAATAGCATTAATATGAAAATATATTCTTGATCATAGATTTTGAATCTGAAAAATTCAAAAATGCAATAAAAAAATTCCATAAATTATTCAATGTACCAGCCGATGAGAAACTTGTTACTTGTAAGAGTGTTCACTAAAGCAGAAAAAAGGCAATCAGAATTTCGTTTTCCTAATATGTATCGTCTAAAATAGATTATTCATGTTCTTATTGGCGTGGACGTGTTCCTCGTCAAGGTTGGCTTTATTTATCGGTTAATTATTTATGTTTTTATTCATATTTATTGGGCAAAGATATAACTATTGTACTTAAATTTACTGATATAACTGTATGTAATAGATTTATTTTTTCCAATGAATTTTATTGGCAATTTTTAGTCTCTCGAACGTGTTCAAGCATATTTATCAGAAACGATACGTGTTGGAACACGTTTTCATGTACATGATTTTTCCATGTTTCGAAATATTGAAGAAACCTATCAAATGATGGAACAATTAGCAAATTTTGCTGCTAAGAAGTAATTGGTTTTGTTTGTTATTAATATTGTATCGGTCTTTTTTCATAGGTTATTATCTGAGAAAGGTGCATTTCGTGAAGAAGATTACTTTCCTGCAGTGACTAAGTATGTATGATTTACTAATCGATTGATGTTTTTTGATATTTAAAAGTAAACTTTGTAGCGAAATAGTTTTTCAGACAGCAGAAAGGTAAAAGATCATTATTTCATGGTGTTATAAAGATAATCAATTCTAACTGCTTCATAATCTATTCAATTCTTTTCCTTGTGTTTTTTTTTCTGCGAAGCAGTTGCGATCAGTAATGCATTGCTTTTCAAATGAATTTTATCTCATTCTATTGAGCTGAGAGAGAACTGTTGCTTCTATTTATTTGTTACTGAAAAGACATTTTTTATTTTTTTGTTTAGAAAAACGGCACCTAAAGTAATATCTCAATTAAAACGTGATCTTGATGCCAAAACTCGCAGTGAACATTATCGATCTCGATTTCGTTTACCATTAAATGAACGGTTAGATGGTGAAGTACCATGCTATTTATGGGCACCGTATAGCCGTTCTAATGTATCTGGCAAACTTTATATATCAACCAATTTTGTTTGTTTTGCTAGTAAAGTAAGATTTCGATTTTTCTCTTATTGACATTCATGATGCACGAAAAAGAAAAAAAAGGTTTATCATCAAGTCAATTTAATTATTCCATTTCGCGATATAATGGTTGTTGAAAAACAACCAGAAACTTCAAATATACCAGATATTGAATCACAATCGGCATTAATAATCATAACAAAAGAACGAGTATTTATACGCTGTGTTTTTTTCTTCTGTTACTATTTCTATAGTACATTGGCGTCTATATATTTAGGCTGGAACATTTACTTTTTCAAATTTTAATGATCGAGAATTTGTGCTTAATAAACTATCAACTTTATTATCTCAATATAGTGAAATAACCGATTTAAAGACTGACACTCCGACAATAAGTGAGTTGTTACTCGCCGATAACAAAAATCATTGTTATTTATTCATTTTGTTTTTGTAGCTCTTTCTAATCCACTCTATTTACAATTCAGTTGTCATGATACTGAAGAATTACAAAAATTAAAAGAAGCCTCTTGGAATAATCATTTTTCTAATTATGGACGAGGTTCCGCTATATATAGAACCAATGAATTATATGAATTAATATTTCAAGGTATACCAAATTCATTACGTAATGAATTATGGTTAATATTTAGTGGTGCTATCCATGAAGTAAATTGTTTTTCTCTCCCGAAGAAACGTAAACACTTAGTTTTTTGTTTCTTGTTGCAGAAAGCAGCAAATCCAAATGTATATCAAAAGTTAGTTCACGAATCGTCACTTGTTAAAACAATTCATGGTTCAACTAATGATGAAATTGAACGTGATCTCTATCGTGCATTACCCGATCAAAAAGCTTTTCAACAGGAGTCGGGTATTAGTGCATTGAGGCGATTATTAAGAGCATATGCGTGTCATAATACTGATGTTGGTTAGTAGCGAATGATTGATTTTTCAATGCGTCTTTTTTTTTGTTCTTCCTTGTAGGATATTGTCAAGCGATGAATATTATCGGAGGTGTACTCCTATTGTATATGAACGAAGAAGATGCATTTTGGACATTAGCAGCATTATGTGAACGTCTTCTACCAGACTATTATAATACGAAAGTAGTTGGTGCATTGATAGATCAAGGTAAATATTTTTTTTGTGTAAAACAATGTCATTTTTTTTCAAAATAAATCTATTGATAGGTGTCTTCAATGACTATTGTAATGAATATCTACCTGATTTATATGAAAAATTGAAAATTCTCGGTGTTGCTACTTGTATAAGCCTTTCGTGGTTTTTAACATTGTTTATTTGGTAAGAAGGTCGATCTGTTTTTCACTTCTAGGATGTCATTTTGTTATTTAGTGTAATACCATTTGAACCCGCGTTATATGTTATTGATATATTTTTTTATGATGGTATCAAAGTACTTTTTCAATTAGCATTAACTATATTAAAAGAAAATCAAGATCGCCTATTGCAATGTCATGATGATGGTGATGCTATTATGATATTAACATCCTATTTAGATGCTCTAACTGATGAAGATGAAAAAGAAAAAAAAATTGTTCGTCTAATAAAACAATCTTATGAAGATTATAATGATATTAATGAAGAAGATATCAATCGTTTACGTTTAAAACATCGTCTAAAAGTTGTACAAACCATGGCTGAATCGATTTTACAATCAGCTGCAAAGAATACATTAAAATATACATCATTTACTGAATATGAATTAAAAGATTTGTTTTATGTTTTTAAAGTAAAAACAAAGTAATGAATGAATAAAAATAATTTTTTTTCTTACTTACTTAGGATGCATCACGTATATCATTAACAGAAGCAATAGATCCAAGAAAACTAGCGTATGAAACCTATCGTATCGGTCGCAGTGAATATTTAGTGTTATGTAAATATTTATCACCGTGGTTTATTGGTGAACATCCAGAAGATTTAGCAAAGAGATTATTTGATGTAATTAAAGTTTAATTTTATTATTTATTTTCAATTGTTTTCTTTTCAAGACGTATTCGATATCGGCCAATTCAAATGAAATTGATTTTATTAATTTTATCCGTTTATGGAATATTTTATTAAATGGAGAGTTTAATGATAAATTAAGACTTATATTTATTGCTCATATAGAAGGTAAATTAATTTAATCATTGCTTGTAAATTTGAAAAAGTTATTTTCAATTATCAGAAGGAAAACGACGAGATAAAGCTATTTCAACACTCTTAGAACCAACAACAATGTATCCTGTATCGAAGACTAGTGATAACAAACAAACAGAAGCAGCGACCTCTACTGAACAGACTTCGACTTCGGTTGAACCAAAAGAAGAAGAAAATGTTAAAATTAAACTCAGTCTATTGCCACTCATGAATCAGGTAGAAACTAATATTTGTTTTTAAGTATGCATTGAGACTAGAACTTCTAAAACCATTTATATGATTATTTCAGACGGAATTTATACATCTATGCAAAACTATGTACAATTTAATGACAAGTGCTGCTGACGATGAAAATCTATTTCATGCATTGACAACTTCAAGTACAATTCTTTTTAAAACTGGTACGCTCTTTGTTGTTTTTATAAATACTTTTTTCTCATCACTTGAGACTTTTGTTTTGGAATTAACAGGTGAAATGTGTAAACCCTATCGCGGACTAGAAGATGATAATGAAAATTCTGACGAAACAAATAATCAATGGACACTTAGTTTTGAACAATTTTCAGCAGCTATGAATGCTGAAACACCTATTGTGACATGGTTCGAATCGAATACTCAACAACAATCTCTTGAACAACGTATTCATAATTATAATCAAGATTTTCTGCGATAAACATTTGTTCTCTTTGCAATTGTACGATGTACAGTGATATAATTTGTCTTAAAAATAAACATCGTAGTGGTGCGAATACTAATTTTTCTTTTTTGTTTTTGAAAACATAAAATAAAAGACAATAATGCAACGGTTTTTATTTTTCGTTGTTTATAGAAAACAATTATGGATCGTTTAAATACAATAATAAACGATCTTATTATATCGAATGAATTCGATTTAATTATACCTGTTATTAAAGCAGGTCTTTTAACACTCGTACGTGATCATTATCTATCAGAATTTATAACAACTATTGAACAAATAACAAGTCAGCCGATCAATACATATCATATGGCATTTGTTAATTTTAATAAACAACTAATTGATATTGAAAATTATCTTAAAACACTATTTCAAACACTTGAAAAGCAGTATAATTTGAAACTATTCAATATTCAAGACTTTATGATTAAATTACCATATAATGCTGTCAAAGAACAATTATTACATACGACAAACATAATTAAATCCACATTTTACGAGAAATTTATTGATATATTTGAATATTATCTAGCTGCATATGCGTCACAACATGCTCGGATTGCTTGTGCTGAATTATTAAAAAGTTTGTTTCTAAAAAAAAACTACGATATAAAAATCAAAAAAAAAGGAGAACACTGGACATTTCATATAAATTTATTCTAAACCAATCATTTTCGTATACTGATATGATACTAAATATTTTCTGTTAATCAATAGATACAACAACTTGTTCATTTTGTAAATTAACATTATCATCTGGATGTAAATGTGTTGAATTACAAGAACAATTTGATATTATTATTTTTATTCTGTAAGAAAACAAGCCGAAGAGAACAAACATGATCTATTAACTTCGTTTCTCTTTTAGTAAACGTCTTGGTCTTCTCTCTCGTGTTTGTCAAAGTGCAGCATTAGCTGCATGTCGACATCGAATTACTAATTTTATCAAACAAATATGTGAACAATATTCATCTCATGCATGTTTACCACATCTCGAGCAGGTACAAACTAAGAAAATTATTTCTAACTGATAAAAGTTGGATTTGTTTTTTTCTTTTCGTTCTAGTGGTTTGAAACAGGTGTTATAACATGGGTTAGTATACTTGAATTGCACTGTACTAATTATTTTGATAATAATGATGATAAAGAACAATCAACTTTTAAAATTGATTTATCATCATGTCGAACAGAATTAAAACATCATATCTATGGATGTGTTATGAATGAAAGAGGTGCTCGACATATGTTTCAAATAATTATCGATTATCCAGAATCACGTGCCGGAGGAGTATTAGATGATCTCAAACGTTGTGTATCGATTGTTGGTAAACGTCACTTAATTATTGATAATGTACGGCATGAATTTAATAAACGTCTTTTACATCCTGGTGTTGGTACAACAGAGATTTTAGCTGCATTTATAAATGCTATACGAGTTTTGCGTTATCTTGATTCAACTGGCGTTATGATGGAATTAGCATGTCATAATGTGAAACAATTTTTAGCGTATGTATCCGTATTTTTAGAAACGTTTTCTTTTATTCTACTTGGTTTTAGACGACGTGAAGATACAATTCGTGTTATTGTTAGTAATATGAATGAACATGGTGTATTAGAATTAAATGAATTGACACAAGGTTTGCTGATTGATGATGTCAAGAACTTGTTTACGATGAATCCTTCTTTTATTTTCTAGCTGATGGTGTTGCAAATACTCGATCAAGTCAATGTTTTCTTGACGACGAATGGGAACCAGAACCAATTGAAGCATTGACAGGTATTATCGACATTCTAATTGAATATTTTTGAGGAATATGAGCTGATTTTTTTAGCTCCTGAACGTGCTCTTCGTCCATCACATTCGCGTGATTTAATGTCTATGCTTGTATCAATTTATGGTCATGCAGAATTATTTGTTGAAGAATATATTCATATGCTAGCCGATCGTATGCTATCTGGACAATCGAATAAAGTTGATATTGAACATGAAGGTCGTTATGTTGATTTATTAAAACAACGTTTTGGTGATGGTGGTTTACAAGGTTGTGATGTTATGCTCAAAGATTATGTTGATTCACGTCTCATGAATGATTTAGTTAAAAAACAATTAGCACATGTTCATTTTCCACTTGCAAGTACGGCTGGTGTACCTATAAACACATTAATTATATCAAGTCAATATTGGCCAGAAGTAAAATTTTCACCTATTGATTTACCCGATGAATTGAAAGCAATTCAAGTAGCATATACAACAGCCTATGAAACATTAAAACCACATCGAACATTACATTGGAGTCCTAACTATGGTAATCGCTCTTTTCATAAAATGTCGTTTTAGACGATTTTATTTTTCCTAGGCCAAGTTAATCTTGAAATTGAAATTGGTGGTAAAACATTAGAATTTAGTGTAACACCATTTCATGCAGCTATTATTTATAAATTTCAAGAGAAGGGTAAATAAAAGCAAAAGACAAAAAAATTTTTTCAACTGAAAATTTTCTTGTAGAGACTTGGACTATCAGTGATCTAAGTTCATCATTGAAATGTTCAACAGCTTGTATACGTAAACGAATAAATCTCTGGCAAAATTGTGGTCTACTGAAAGAAGAAGCTAAAGATACATTTCGTTTAGTTGAAGATACTTCAAAAGTAGCTTCAAATAGTTCATCTCAAGCGCCAGCACTATTAAGTGTTGATGTTGACGACATGAATGTTGAACATCAAGCTGAGCCTGATAAAAAAGAGCATGAACACACGGTATGTTATTTCATTTTAGCTGTAAAAACAATGTTCGCTTTTTTTTGCATTATATTATGTTTAGATTGTATGTAATTTTGTCTTTGCTATGCTTCGTTCAAAGACATCATTAACATTAGAAAGGATTTATTCTTTATTATGTGTCTATGCATTTCATGGACAACATGAACGAACATTAATTGATGTCAGAAATATACTTGATGCGAAAGTTAAATCAAATCAATTGTTATATACAGATGGATTTTATACATTACCACCAAATCAAGGAACAACTTCAACATCACCGGTTTCAGCAAACGAGAATATGCTTGTAGATTAAATCATGCTTAAAAGACGAACAACATAGATTAATTTGTTTGTATATATTGAAATATGATCGATGCCAAAACAAATAAAACTATTTTCTCTTTTTTTTTTGCATTAAATAAAAAGCTGAGCTATAACTCTAAACTTTTGAGATGAGAGATCGAGACAGAAGGAGCCGTGAACTTGGAAAAATGCAAACTTTCTCTAAAACCAAATGATTTCAGGGCAATTTTATATTTTCTGTTTGTTTTGCTTCTTTTCGTTACACACAAACATTAAAAATAACGTGTCAGTTCTTACAAGAACTTGCATCATACTCAAAAGCGAGTACACGTTTCTTACTCTGTTCAACTACAAACAAATTCCAGTCACGATCGAATTTCATCCCAGCAGTCCATTGGATAGATGTTGTACCACTTAGTACTTCACCTTGTTTTGCATCTTTGGCCCATTTCACGATACGCTTGTTATAGGTATCACCTATGAATAGTGAACCTAGAAAGAAAACGAGACGAGTTTACATCAGAATATACCTTTTTTCTAGAAGAATTGACTTAGACTCTTTCAAAAAAAATCGGTTTACGATGAGGATAGCTGCCAAGAGTTAAATGCGGATGCGCTGTGAAGATAAGACTGACCAAATGATTTGTCTTCTTTTTCTCTTGATTCTCCACAATAAAATGGGTATTGGAAAAGATCAGTTAGATGTCGATGAGGGGGACTAGTTGAGAATCGATTATTGGGATATGAATATTTATAGGGACGAATCGACTATCATTTATAATCAGAGAGTGAGGACATGCTTTTAGAACTGACCTGTTGTTGAATCAACCAGTACTTGATAGGGCCCAGACAATTGATTTAATCCACTGCCAGTTCCTTGTCCACCAGCGACTGTCACACCTCCCGTTATTGAACTCGAACGATACTTCAATATACGGTTACCATGCGTATCACTTACATACACTGCATCATCACCATCTTCATCAACATAGACACTAGAAGGGGAGCCTATTTCACCTTGACCAATTACTTGGATTCCTTGATTATTAGCCAAATACTTCACAATACGATTCTTTCCCAAATCACCAACATATACATTTCCTTTACGATCAACATAGATACCCATCGGTGACTCTAAAAACTGATGATCAGCTACAATTTTCATTGTTTTGCCATCTTTTGACAATTTTTTCACTGTATTATCTGCATGATCTGAGAAATAGATAGCGTCATCATCGAACTGATTGACAAAGACACTGATAGGGATTAGATCTTTGGTGGTGTAGAGTGTTGTAACACGACCATCTTCGTAGAATTTTCGTACACTTTGCGTACCAAGATCAGTAACGATGATGTTACCTTCACTATCGAATGCAATATCAATAGGATCTTGTATTTGCTGTTGAGTACTAGAGTCGAGAGGGATGACTGTGAGAGGTTTAGAATTCCAGGTTGCTTTTGAACAGAGTGAAACTAGGTAATCAACAAAATAAGGTGAAATCAAGTGTGAAAGAAAAGTGATTTCACTATTACCTTTTTTTATAGGTGTACTGTTACTATGGATGAGACTACAATGTAAAATGTGAAAAATACTTGGAAAATTTCAAGAAATCATAGCCTGTTGAATACTTGCAGTCCATAAAAAAGCGCGAGCACAGAGAACTTCATTGTGTAACTTTTATAGTACTAGCAAACTTATTTTTATTAAAGAAAAGAAAAAAAGGTTGAGTAAGAGCAAGGGATGTTTTTCGATTATTTCGAATGGCGTTGCATATTAAAATGGAAAAGAACAGGCTTAGTGAATGCAAACGAAATGAAAATTGAAGATTTAAAGAATACGTTGGAAGGCGAGTGATATTAGTGTGCTTTTACCAGGTGCATCTGTCGAAATTCTAATTTAGGCATAAGCTAGACTTGGCAAGTGTCTTAATTATCATTTTAGCGAATATTCACAATATCTAGTTTACACTGATAAAAAAAGCGCCGAATGATAAACGTTTAAAGCGTTTATGAAAATGCAACGTATGATATATCCTTTTCTACCGTTTAGTAGCATGCGATAAATCCTTTTATTTGCCCATCAAAAGACGAAATAAAACGGTTTATCATAGTGTTTATATGACTGAACAACTTTAAAAGGGTGTATCATACGTTGAATTTTCATAAACCCTATCGAAGGTGTTAGAGAGTACTCTAACAAGTTATTTATTTATTTATTCATTCTTATACATTCTTGTTTCGTCTTTATACGTTATGTATTTCTTATATATCCAATTCAACTCGAGATGCACATATGTCAACCGCTCTTTTTCATTCTTGCTTTCCTCTCTCTGCATATCTCTCTTGAGGGTGTGTGCATGTGGGTTGTATACTATAAATAGGAAAAAAAGAATAATAAAGAAAAGATTCAGATTAGGAATCGAAAATAGGAAATTTGCTGTTGATTGGTTAAATAGAAACATAAATTTCTATTTTGTGAATTGCGTTAAGTTACAACGGGGTCTCTTTAACACTTTCTATCTGAGTTTTTTCAATATCTTCATGTTAAACACAAAAATGCATGTTTATCTTTCCTCATTTTTGCTGTCGTTATTATCTACACCGCTATATTGCAAAAATCAAACACATCGCTAATGTAAAAAATATCGATGATCGAATAAGACTACTTACCAGCCGATATCAAAATGCTTACTTTTTAATGTCAGTCTGCAAGAGATATTACTTTGTATATGTAGGTGTTACATATTTTTTCTTTTTTTCTAACATAAAGTGTTTACCTGAGTTAATGAAGTGTAACTCAAATTTCCCTACTTCTTATTTTCGCACATCAAAACATTGTTTCATGTACACCGCATGTTCACCAAATAAGTGATCTATATTTTCCTTTCAGTTGTGACCAGTACAAAAAAAAACGATGAGCATCTTACTATTTCTTTTCATCAAGTTAGCGCGTGGGTGACTGTATAAAATAACATTAACCATATCCAGACCCTCACACCGACACCTTGATCAAAATCATCATAGAATACACTCTTATGATCTTGAAGTTACTGATTATTTCGAATTTACATCATATGATCAAATTATTGGTCAACCGAAGGGATTCAAAATGAATTTTGATATGTCAATTACATCAGATTCAGTTCTACTTGATCCGAGTATATCATCAATATTAAAGCACAACAAACATAGTAGACAAATTAAAAATGTTACAACAAGTATTTCTTCGAAAAAATCTCGAAAAAGAATACTACTGGTAGTGATGTATTTCTCTTAATAAATTGTATCAACTATTTATTTTATTGTTTCTGCTTTAGTACGAAAATAATGAAGTAATATCGTTGCCAACGTATTCCGATTTGATCGCTCAGGGTTTATAATCTCGAGTTAAATTGAATCTGAATTAGGACTTTTGCTTTATTATTTTGTTATAGAATCGTTCCTAGCTATTCAACAGGTATTTTTACGACAAACATGTGCTTATTTTGTTCAACAATATCCTGATTGTACTTCGCGAATAACTAACCATTCATTCATCATGGCTCTCACGCAAAAATTTCCAGCATTGAATGTTTTAGACAAGAATGTCGATGGAATGAACGGTATAGCATCATGTGTAAGATTGATCGAAGAACTCTTCAAAATTAAAAAGGGAGTCTTCATATAGAAAAAGAAATTATTTTCTTCAACTTATAGCATACAATATCTCGTCTACGTTCTCGAAAAAAACGTAACATGAAATATTCATTATGTATGAACGTAATTGTAAATTAGATTTTCTTCAGCCATACGTCAATTATCGGAAAAATCATGTCACGGCTCAGGTCGGTCTCTGGTTCTTCTTCAATTCCCTTTTTCGAGATGGAAGAACCCCAACTTCTCCAAGACTTCCCTGAGACATTCTGATCCCCGCATGTTGATAACTTGCTTATTTCTATTCTTGTTCTCTGCATGTGTTGCAACGCATTTTCTCTTTCAGTGGACTTTTTTGTTTTTGTTATTGTTTTTTGTTATTGTCTTCATTGTTCGTTTTAATTGCTGTTTCAGTTACTGTTCTTATGTCGCCTTCGGGTTATAACTTGATATCTTTTCTCCACCATTTTCTCATTCTCATTTTCCTCATTATTATCTTTCTCTATTCCCGATGCTATAAGGATCTTTCTCGGATCACAGCTTTGCTGCATAATAAAAAAAATTGTAAATTAGATTTTAATTCAATTTGGCTGCGGTGCTACCCTTTCTATTCCAATGATCAATGCCAATACACGCACACCCACACGGAACAAAAACCCTGTTTCCAAGTCATATACGGAGAAAAGGTTTTGTGTCTCGTTGCAGAATCATAAACTTTTTTTTTGTTTAATACTCTATCAAAAATTTTCTTTTCTGTTTATTAATTTGCGAACTTCTTTTTACAGTATATTTGTAAATAAAGATTGTTTTGAATCATATGGTTTATCTGTCTGCCCACGTCAGCATATAAGTCAACATGAATTGTCTACCTGGCAAGTATATAAAGAAAAACGTTTCACTATAGTTAAAAACTGATAGTATTATCAAAGTATATGTAGTGATGATGACAACAAACTATAGAACTGGTGTTGATTTTGATTTTGTTTTTAATATATCAATTGTTGGTGATAGTGGTGTTGGGTATAGTAGTTTTCTTCTCATAGATGTATTGAACAATTAGATTCTTTAGGAAAACGACAATTTTGCAAAGATTCGCGCAAAATACATTTTCAACAGGCAATGTAGCGACGATCGGTTATGGTTATTATTTTATATTTATTACTATTCGTATATTTTTCTATATTTTTATTTATGAATAGATGTACAAATTCGAACATTAGAAATCGATTCTACGCGGTGCAAATTAGTAATATCGGATCTAGGTGGTCAAGATAGTTTCAAATATGCTCTATCATCTTTTTATCGTAATGCCAATGGTATTGTCATTTGTTTTGATATAATAAATTTAGAAAGTTTTCATAATGTTAATAACTGGCTTGAAAATGTTCAACGATTGTGCCGTGAACAAACACCTATATTTCTTGTTGGTACAAAATCTGATTTGAAATTGAGACGCAAGATATCGCATGAAATGATTGAAGCTTATGCGAAAAAAAATAATTTGTCCTATGTTGAAACAAGTTCAAAAACAAATGAAAATGTTGAAGAATGTTTTGTTCATTTTACACGAATTTTAATGGTTCACATTCATCAAAGAGATGGATCGACTATTGATTTAAATAATAGACAAAAAACAGTTACGAATCTAGAAACTAGTGGATGCTGAAGATGAGACGATATTGAAGCCATCTAGTTCACACAGCAAACACCCGATCAAGTCTGAAAAACATTGCTAGTAATCCTGTCTCTCAAGTCAAGACTGAATTCATTCAGTTTAGTTTCAAAGTCAATTGTCAAATCTTTTTATTTAAAAGAACTAAGTCATAATATTGAATATAAAGAATGATGCAGCAATAATAAAGAAAGATCTAGTTGTTGTGATGCATTCATTTGGTAACGGCTGATTCTCGTACTTCTCTAACCCGTATTTCTGTAACCATTTAAGTTCTTCTCGAACTTTTATTTTACCATTCCAAGGATCATTCTCAATGCCATGTCCTTCATTTGGAAAAACTAACAATTGCACGGGCATGCCCAAATAGTAAAGGCCACGTTCTAACATATAACTTTGATCAGGGTCGACTCGTGTATCACTCTGGCCCGTAACAATATGTGTCGGTGTGCGTACTTTATTCAACTGATAGATTGATGATTCTTTTTGATAGATTTTTGGTACCTCCCAAGGAAAACCTACATGTAAATAACTGAGAAGTACTGGCAAATCCATTGTACCCCAGCTTGATACATGTTCAGTACTACCAGCACCCGACAAAGCAGCATTGAATCGTGTCGTTTGAGTAATCAGCCAATTTGTTAGAAAACCACCATAACTGTAGCCGCCAACTGCAAGCCTTTTCGAATCGGTTATGCCATCTTCTATAAGTTGATCAACTCCCATTAGAATATCTTCACCGGGCAATGACAGTAGTCGATGGCGAAATTCGCCGAGAAATTTATCACCGTATCCGGTTGATCCTCGATAGTTAGGTTCTAAAACGAGCCAACCTTCAGTGGCAGCTATCGTAGCCCAGTTGTTCCAATTGGCTTGAAGTTCATTTAGACTTGCTGCATTCGGACCGCCATGAATTAGAACTAGGAGCGGTAAATTCTTTCCATTGGATTTTCCCGGTGGATAGTGTAAAACACCTTCTATTACTTGGTTATCTGCTGTATTTTTCCAGTAGTATGCTTTTACTTGAGGTAAATTGTGTTGTGTAAATAATACATTATTGCCCAGGTCAATGATTCCGGAGGACGGATACTGGAGGAACCGGCCGGAAAGATGCGGAAAAATCACCGTATCTGGCCGGAAAGCATGGGAAAGCACTGGAAACTGGAAGCAGTATTCCAGTTGGAAGTTACCGGATTTTTTTCCTGTGGATTCCGGTCAGTTTCCTGTGTTTTCCGGTCAGTTTTCTGTGTTTTACATCTGGAAGTTNGTTTTCCGGTCAGTTTTCTGTGTTTTACATCTGAAAGTTGATCGGAATCTACAGGAAGAAAATCCGGTAACTTCCAACTGGAATACTGCTTCCAGTTTCCAGCGCTTTCCTGTGCTTTCCGGCCGTTTCCCGCCGTACGTCCACGACCTGGGTGTTTGTAATCGCTTTAGCTGACATAAGTTGATCGATACTATCAGCCAAATATACTTCTTTTGGTTTTTCGAATGATGAAAATACAAATGCAACTGGGCCACCTGATTGATGTGATAACGAACTAAAACGTTCATAAGTTCCGTTCCATCCACGCTGCTGAATCGCGTCATCTGCTATTGACTCTTGTGTATAAACTTGAGCATTGAGTCCCAACTGTCCTATGATGTGAACACCACCACCCGATTTAACTGTACATTGTGTGATAACACCATCAAAATTTTTTCCCCAATCGATCAACTTTCCCAGTAGTTAAATCCAATGAAAAAAGTCGTCGTTGAGTAGTTTGAACTTTACCTGAACTGAGTGCCCACAACCGATAGAATACATGTTTACCATCACTTGATAGTTTTAGTTCTTGTTCGACTCCTTCCATGTTGGTCAATCTTGATAATGATGATAATGATGATGATGAACTATTCAATTGAATCGAGTATAATTCAAAATTGTCCAAATCTTCATATGACCTTCCTCGTGATGTAAAAATAAGCTGTTGTTGATATGGAACATACAACAGTTCGTTGACCGTCAAGGACACATTGGCTACAATACTGACATTTGCAAATAGAGGTAGATTATTTGTATTAATAGTTATTCGATAGATCACACTATGTTCGCCAGGTGTAATCTGTCGATGGTTAATTACATTCTTCCATTCTACTCTATGTGCATCTTCTTCTTCTTCTTTTGACCACATTGCCTGAGCAACAAAATAAAGGATTCTATCATCATCGGACCATGTGATAAATGATGGTTGTACAGTTCCGATTTCAACAGCAATGAGTTTCTCTGTAGTAACCGAATAGAAATACATGAGTTTCTCAGTAGTGTCTAATTTTTCAAATGAATGTCGAGAATTGTTTGTGATAGAATTGTTGTTTACAAAAAATGCTACCCATTTACCATCTGGTGACCATATTGGTGCAAAGTACTCGCTAACGTCTGCGATAATCAACCGCTTTTGCTGTTGCTGAATATCATATAACCATAAATCGTGCGAATGAGAATTTGTCTCCCATGATGGTCGCAAAGTTTCAATGAGTAGATGTTGACCCGTCGGTGACAAGATCACGGTTGGATATTCAACATAATTGAAAAATCCATCTAACGTTAATTTGGGTTTGTCTTGTGCCGAAGAATAGGAAAAGAATTTCAACACAAGCAATAGAAATAGTACAATTGAAAATTTTAACATTCTTCGTTGTAAATCTATAAAATTAGAATCATCTCCCAGTCTAATCGCATAATTTCAAAATGATCAGCTAAAATTCCTTATAGAAGCAATGAATTGCAAGTGACATGAAAGCTTCTAAGTACGTACTGAATCATTCTTTCTAAACAGCTCTGACGTCAATAGTATTGATATAACATTGTTATTTGCGCAGATAAAGTTTAATCTGTATTTGCTTTTATCCCATCAGCAGGATGAAATAAATCTTCAATCGAGAAAAGGAGATTAATAGGCAACCAATGAAAGAAATCAATGTTTTTATCAAACATATCTTCATCAGACGACAATAATATGAGACCTATTAGATTACGAGACTGTGCTTATCTCTTTACTCACACCCACACTCTCAAGCAACCATTACTATGCGTGGCTCAGAATCCCAATAATAAGCCAAATGACATACGCGGTACTATCCATATTAAATCACTTCTATGTTTGCCGGTGTATTTGTATTTTGTTTCTAATATATTGTATAAACAATCTGAATAGATATTTGCGTTAAACAGTACCTGTATTTAGGCAAGCACCGAACCGGGTACAACTCGGGTAGTTCGGGTCAGTACTACCCGGGTTCGGTCGTACCCAGTATTCGGTCGCACCCGGTTTCGGTCATACCCGGTTTCGGTCGCACCCGGTTTCGGTCATACCCGGTTTCGGTCATACCCGGTTTCGGTCATACCCGGTTTCGGTACTACCCGGTTTCGGTCATACCCGGGTTTCATCATATCCAGATTCGGTATGGGATTCTCTGGTCTACGTATTCGTATCCTTCGAAGCATAGAAATGAATAATAAATAGCACCTATGGATATATATAGTAGGTGATAAAAGATGAATTCATGTCAAAGATCCTCTACCTTGCTCAACCTATCATAGTTAATCTCATTTATCAGGAACGGATACAGTTAAATGAGCTTCTCTTAATATTTATCTTGGACTCAACTACAAGAAATCGTCGAATGGTTCTCCTTATTAAATTTTCCGGAAATACAGATGTAAGATTTTTTCCATCGGCCTAGTAAAAATATCAATACTAATAATACTGATATCAATATCACCAATACTAAATTGTATTAATATTGGTAGTATTCGAATTTTCACATCCCTACTTAGACTATCAGGAGGATCATTTCAATAAGGAGAACCATTCGACAATTTTCTGTAGCTGAGTCCTATAGAAATATTCATAAAAGCTCATTTAATTGTATACTTTCCTGATAAATAAGATTATCTATGATAGATTGAGGAAAAGGCCATAAACCTTTGAAATAAAATCATTTATTATTATCGATCTATAGGTACTATTTGTTATTCATTTCTATGCTTCGAAGGATACGAATAAGTAGACCCTCGAATTCCAGTACCGAATCTGGGTATGATGAAACCCGGGTAGTACCGAATACCTGGTAGCACCGAAACCGGGTATGACCGAATCCGGGTAGTACCGTAACCGGGTATGGCCGAATCCGGGTATGGTCGAATCCGGGTATGGTCGAATCCGGGTATGACCGAACCCGGGTAGTTCGGGCTCGGTGCATGCCTACCTGTATTCGGAATTCCAGGCACCTGGCATAATTTAGTGTCATCAACTTTCTTTTTTTTTTGTTTCGTTTTGCTTTGTCAAAGAATCAGACAGAAGACTCAATTTGATTGGAAAAATATAATGCTTCATTTCTTGTTATGAGGTCATGAACAAGCGATTTAAGGACAAAATCATCGAAGTAGTATATATACATAGTGCACTTTCATAGGAATGACAGTCGTTCTATTTCTTTTCAGCCTATAACAAGCTACAAGCTAGAGTCATGCAGTTGTCAAAAATCTCACCGTTACCTTATCGACCGAAAGTCATATGATAGAATTCAGCAGGAGATCTGCAATCGAGCAGTCATGTCAAGATCTTTCATTCTTCTGCTGCATCGATTTGTAATTATCTAGAACTTAAAATGTATACTAATCCATGTCTTAATTGGTAGGCATCAGGAATTCTAATGGACGAAGAACATTCGCAAATTAAAGATTCAACCATAGAAATAGGCAAGTCGCGACACGATACACTACATGAGAGCCGGTGAGTTATAAGTTTGCTTAAGCTTTTACTTGAAAACAATTATTTTGAAATTGATCATAAAATCTAACTATTTCAAACACATACACTCTAGGTGTAGCATAAGCAATTCATGCAAACTGAAAAATTCACATAATAGAAGTTGCATAAATGGACAGAAATTAAATTAACTCATTTTGCCTTTAAGAAATCTATTCTGACGCAGTTGTTTTACGTTAATCACCTTGGTGATACTGATTCTTGTATTGACTGGAATAGCTGCCATTATACTTCTTCTTATACAAGGTGAGTGTCTTTTATTTTGTTTGTATTTACTGAATTTCTCTCGTGCTGTGCAGCGCAGACAACATATTTGAATAGTTGTAATATCTATGATTAGTCATCCCTAAGCATACATACAATATACTTTGATAGAGAAAAAGCCATATTAAACCTCCGCCAATAATTTGTTATTTTGCTGTATTTAATTTCCTTCTATTTACGCTATAAGTAAAAAGGAAAAAAATTCATCGTGAGCATGGCATCAGTACGTAAGACTATTGATTACATTTTCTGCACCGGTCGAACTGCCTACATCGCAAAAGCAAAATTCGATTTTTATTGAATTTTGAATATTGAAAACTATATAAGTTTTAATTCAGTCTAAAATATATCATTGAATGAATTTTTGTAGTCGAGAACAAATCAAATGCATCACTGACTAGCAAAATAAACAGTGGTACGATGTTCAGTTGATCAACGATGAATACCACAAATTTGACCGCGAGTACAGCAACTAGTACTACCTCTTCAACACTTAGTACTGTTACAACAGTTTCAACAAACAAGTAGCTCTACAACTGCAACTATAACAGTTCCATTGATGTCTTTTTATTTCTTATTTCATGTACTGAAACTAGTAAAAAACATTTTATGAGAAACAGAATTCTCACAAAATTCTGCTGGTAAATGATCAATTCTGTTTAGAATTCTGCCTTCGACCCAAGATAGTGTGTGTATACAGTAACACAGAATTCAGTAAGGGAAACAGAATTCTCTGTTGATAGTGTTCATTACGCCTTTAAGTCATGTAGGTATTATTCTTACAGAATTCTGGTGGTTGTTCTTGGGAGAATTCTGCCACCCCTCTTTCCTTGATAATTATTGTTTACCATTCGAGAAATATCTAAAAGATTTCTAAACAAAAAATGACGAATCGCAAGACATTTATTAATAGAGAGAGCGATTACTTGGGTGAAAACCTAAAATAAATGACAAGAGAAAGGAAAGAAACCTCTGACATTCATTTCTATCCCAACAAAAAAATATAAGAATTGAAAATGAAGATTACTCTTTGTGTCATTTCTTTGTAAGAACTTGGTTCCTTTGAAAAGAAAACAACAATTGGGATAAATACAAAAACACAGCATGGGAAGAGAATGTGACAAGGAAAGAAAAGAAAAATATCTCTGATGCCAATTTCCACCGAACAAAAATAAGGTTTCTTCATTGTGTGTTCTTTGATGTGTGGCTAAACTCAAGCACTCTACATATAAATAGAAATCGCATATATTAAGTGGTAGGACACAAAACCTTTTAGTTTTATTTCGTGATAACTGTTTTGAGGGTGTGAGTGTGGGTATATTTGGATGCTTTTTCAATTAATCACTCACACCCACCCCTTGATAACAAAAATTAAGAAAATATACTTAAAAATTAAAAGAAATCCCTAGTTTTCGTGTAATCGGATAGACGATTTTGTTTGTTCAACACCAAAATTTCATCAGAATGAATAATTCTCGTAGTATTCAACAACGATACTTACTAATAGTCGCTGATTTTTGTCGTTAAAGATCGATGAATTAATCTATGTGTCATTAACGAATAGAGGCGAAACTACAAAATCATTTTTGTATTCATTATTGTCTTTTTCATAATCCTCAACTATCGTTATTTATTCAACTTGATCTTTATCATCGCCATTAGAATGTCATTCATTCCCTCAATCTAATAGAATGAAGTACTCGATTGCTTTTGTTTGGAGTCATTTTATCTTTTCATTAGTGGCTTATTCTGAGCCAGTCGATTACAATATTCGTGGTACTATCAAACCTGGTTGGGAATTTGTTCGAAATTTATTTCGAGAAAATTTCGTACAAGATCGAGATCTGGGTGCTTCCATAGCGGCTTATTATCAGGGATCATTAGCGTTTGAATTAGGCGGTGGGTGGTTTGATCAATCGCGAACAAAACCTTACGATGTCGAAACTTTGCAAATGGTCTTCTCGACTTCAAAAGGTCTTGTTGCTACCGCTATTGCACTTGCGGTTCAACGTGGTCTTCTCGACTATTCAGCTTTAGTAACTCGTTACTGGCCTGAATATGGACAAAATGGAAAAGAAAATACCACTGTAGCCGACATAATGTCCCATCGAGCAGGATTACCTTACATTTCGACGCCATTCGAACAATTTTTGAATTGGACAGCAATGGTTAATACATTAGAACAAATGACACCATTGTGGTCACCTGGATCAGCACATGGCTATCATGCATACACCTATGGATGGCTTGCAGGAGAACTCATTCGACGCGTGGATCCAAAGAAACGATCTTTGGGTCAATTCATTCGAGAGGAGATGTCGGATCCATTTGACTTCGAATTTTTCATAGGTCTACCAATAAACCAGGAATATAGGGTATCGCTAGTCGAATTAAGTGACAATACAAAACAAAATATGGACGAATCTAACATAGAACTAATTGCTTTATTCAATGATCCTCGCACGCGTCGAGCAGAGATACCTGCAGCCAATGGAATTGCTACTGCTTGGTCTATTGCTAAATTATATTCAGTATTAAATACTGATTTGGATGGTGGAAAATTCAAACGACTATTGAACGAAGATATTCTCAAATCGGCTATTCGATCGAATACACCTGAAGGTGAAATTGATCAAGTCATGCAACTAAACGTTTCGTTTGGCATGGGCTTTTTATTGTTCCATGACATTTTCCCAGAATTTGGACCGGACACTTTTGGTCACGATGGTAACGAAAAACAAAGGATATGGGCATTTCATTGATATTCAACATATTTAATTATAGGTTTTGGTGGAAGTATCGGTTTTTGTGCACCAACAAAAAATTTCTCCTTTGCTTACGTCACGAATCGACTGGAAGGCGCATCAACCGACGGATATCCACGTATTGCGCCAATGCTGAAAAAAATTGCTGAATTTCTTAATCAATAATTTTTTTGCCTTCATCATTATCACTAAAATCAAAAATCTGCCTTAGCATGATCATTTTGTTGGGTGTGGGCGTTGTTCTTTTCTTCACATACGCATCCTAAATAAATTATCAAATGTACTGGGTAATTAAAAGAACCTTGGCAAATAAAAGTTACTTCTCAATATTCAGAACAGTTGTATATCGAATCTCTTTGATGAAGATGGTTCTACTTTGAAAGAAAAAAAGGAGTTCTGTAGAGCCCTTTTATGGTTCCATAGCTCATGCGGAACCATTTCAAGTTCTGCATGACAATACGAAACTATCAACAGCTCTGTCCAACAGTACCGAACTTTTGAAGGTTTCGGGAACAGATTCAAAACCATAAAAAGTTCTGTGTTGAAGAATACTGAACCGAAAGGGTTCTGCACAATGACACTGAATCTATTAAGATTCTGTGAAAAAATACCGAACCATAAAATGTTCTCTAGTCAAAAGTACGGAATCCGACAGGTTCTGTCCCATGATGCTGAACTTTGCAAGGTTCGACAAAATGATCCTGAGCCATAAAAACTTTAGTGTACAATAATACTGAACCAGATATAGTTCTGCGTAAAGATGTAGAACCATCAAATGTTTTTTATCCAAAAGGGGAACTCAAAAGGTTCTGTTCCATGATATTGAACCGTCTAAGGTTCAGCAGAAAAATGTTGAACCGTAAAAGGTTCTGTTTCTGCAATGCTAAACCGAAGAAGTTTTGTACAATAAGACTGAACCTTGAAAAGTTCTGTCAAAAAATGATCCATTCTAAAAACAAATTCTCTACCAAAAAATACTGAAGTGTAAAATATTTTATCATTTCTGCTCAATTCTTTAGGGTTTCACAGTTCAAACGTGCTGCCATAAAACGCTTTGAGAGACAAAGTATGATGCAAGATATATTTATTATGAAGTCTTTTATCAAAATGCCAGCAGAAAATATGTTTTCAAATGTAATTTATGGTACATTCAGTAGAACTATTTTATTGCATACTTTCTTCTTTTTTTTTACTCCATGATACGTTATTGTGCTCTAATATTCGATTTATTCATCGCTTGAGAATGCTTTTTGCACTCAAGCCGTTGAGATCGGGTGAATTTTCTTTTCTTCTCAAGTAATTTTACTTTTGGTTTTACATTTTCACCTGTTTGTCATTTCCGGGAAAAGATTGAAACAAATCACCATAGTTTCCTCAACGCCTAGCTAATATATGCTAAATCTGGCAAATAACTATAAAGGCAAATAATACTATTATCCATATTTAGTAATCCAACTGCTTTGAGATAAATTGCGACTATCCTCACAATTCGACGACTCTAATGAAGCTCCAATAATATTTTCAAGTATCGTGTGCGTCGACTATATACGATTTATTATCATATTATCGTTGTCTATCGTGTTTGTTCTAAAACACTCGTTAACGTCAACAAAAGAAACCATTCAATTAAACATTTAACACTGAAATTATTCAGCCATATCATACGCAATTGATGTGCACACATGTCGTTGAACTTCACATCTTACAAATAAGATAGAGGATTTAATGTAATCCATATGAATCCAAGGATAAAGTCCTAAACATATACTTTCACGAATACACAAATAATCGTATAGTAATAAGGAAATCCATATAAGGTTATTAGTATAATGATATAAATAAAACGGTCAAGATATAAGAACGCAATCGTAAAGGCATGCTGAAAATAAAAGAATTGTAATGGTATAGATATCAAGGCATGAATAACGAGGTATAGCTATAAGATGCAGTATTAAGGCTAAAGAAATAAGGACGTAGCTATAAGACTACTCTCTAAAGCTAACTTGTTTCGTTAAATTTCAAGAAAAAACGATTAAAAATAGCCATAATAATTTTTAAAGGTTGTAGTGATTGAGAACACTACAAACTTCTGGTTTCAGATGATCATTATAACTGATTCTTTCTTAAAATCACAGGATAGAACAATAAAAAACCTATAGTAATTTCTCTTTTTTTGAAATTCTTCAAATAGATTGCATCCAAACAGTAAGTTTTATTTCAGAATACAAACCTAATATCAAAATTTCTTTTTTTTTCGTGTAGCTTTTTACAATTGTATAATTCCAAGGGTAACTCACATTGAAGAATCAACAGCTAATATCAAGATTTCGTTTTCTTTTAGATTCTTTCAATACATTTTGTCCAATCAGTAAGTTATATGCAAGAATTAGAAAATTATATTAAGTTTTTATTGTTTGTTTTAGATTCTTCAAGTAGGTTTTATTCAAATAATAAGCTTCATTTAAGAATAAAAAAGTTATATTGGAATATCGATTTTTTTCTCTTTTAGGTTCTTGGAATGAATTGTATTCAAATGGTGAGTTACATTAAAGAATCAAAAACCTAATATTAATTTTTCCTTTCTTTTAGATTCCTCAAATGGATCTCAGCGAATGGCTAAGTTACATATCAGTATTCGAAAAATAACGATCTGTCATTTTGATGTTTTTATGATAGACGACATGGGTTCGACATCTGTGTGACTGCCGATATTGTTCAGATCCTTAATTGCATTCCCAGGTTGGTGAGCTTTGAAACCTTTTTGCAGTTTCTGATATTACTTTGTGAGAAAGTACTGTAACTATTTGTTTCGGTTTAGAAGACTTTGAACACCAATATTCGGAAACTCTGAAAGGTTTTCAGACAGTGCCAAAATCAGAAAGGTTCTAAAGTTTTCCCGGAACTACACTTTTTTAGGAAATATACAAATAAGGATATAGTTGTAAGGGTATAGATATAAGAATATCGAAATATGGATACAGAGATAAGGGAAATCCCAACGGTAAACCATTTAAATCATGGAACACCTTATACGTAGGACAGAACCTTTTTTGAAGAAAAATCACATACGGTTTCGTTATTTCTTTACTGAACCTTTTTTCAGTCAGGACCTTTTTCGAGGGTTCTGTGTTTTACCCGATACCAGAACCCCTAAAATGGTTCTGTAAAACTCCTTTTTTTCTTTCAGAGTATAGTCGTATGAGCGTCTATGACAAATGGCACACTGGCAATATTATCATCATTGCCCATGCTTTCAGACTTGAAAGTTTGAATTCTGAATTAATCTATTATCAAATCAAAGCCTCCACTGGTTTCTCCGATTAACTACTCGCGTAAAATGCTATTTTCGCGTTCATCAAGCTTTTGACTAGCTCCCATACTGACGAGTAATACTATGAGAAAATTTATTCAGAAGTATGATATACTTCATCTTCTGAAAGCAAAAATAGCTAATAGCAGTTAGTAGGGGTGGGCCATTAACATTAATTTTATATTAATGTTAATGTTTCTCATTAACCATTAATATTAATGCTTAATGTTTTCTGAGAAAAACTTAATTCATTAATATTAATGATTAATGAAAAACATTAACATTAATTTTAAAATTAATGTTTTCATTAATCATTAATATTAATGTTAATGTTTTTCATTAATCATTAATATTAATGAATTAAGTTTTTCTTAGAAAACATTAACCATTAAGATTAATGGCTAATGAAAGTCATTAATTAATGTCACTAATTAAGTTCCGTTAAAAAAAATGGTCCACCCCTACCTACACATGCAACTAATAGAACGACATGATTCTCAACAACAAACAGGAGAGGTCTCAGAAACTGTCTATCGAGGACAGTTGATGACTAATGAAAAATTCGATAGAAGAATTCGAGATAATATTGGGGGCTTCTTCTCTGTTGGCGGCTTCTTATCTACAAGAATGAAGACAAATGTAGCTCTTGCTTATGCTGGTGAAGGCTCTGCACCGGATACACAACATGTTCTATTTCAAATTCATATCGATAATCAAGCTAATAAGTTTGCCTATGCAAATATTTCAAGTGAAAGCGCATTCAATGAAGCAGAAAGTGAGATTTTATTTACAATGGGAGCAGTTTTTCGCGTGAAAGGTTGTGTATGCGACAGTCAAGGTGTCTGGATTGTTGAGTTAAAGTTGTCCGGGGAGGAAGATCAAGAGCTACGAAGACTATCGGAGTCTTTGGTGAAACAAATTTCCACACCCAAATCATTGCTGAATTTAGCGAAATTAATGATTATAATGGGAGAGCATGAGAAGGCGCTCAGATTTGCGCTCCAGCAAATAAAAGATAACTTGACTACTTCCGACGATGAATCTCTCCGAACTTTGAGTAATGATTTTTGCTCGATATACGAGAGCCGAGGAGGTCATGAAAAATTAATCGAATTTAATAAAAAAATGCTGGAATTTAAGTTAAAACGCTTTTCGTCTACTGATCCATCTCTTCTATCGGATTATAATAATTTGGGAATTGCATATATGCATTTGGGTAATTATGATTCTGCTCTCTTGAACTTTAATCAGGCGATTAAGCACTGTATGTATGCACCGAAACAAAATGAAGCTTTAATTGCAGGCATTTACAATAATATTGGAAAGGTGCACGCGGATCAAAAGCGTCCTAAACAAGTAATGGATGCTTACAAAGAGTCTTTAAACCTGAAATCGAACACTCTTCCTCATAACGATCCCGCATTTGCAATTGCGCACAACAATATTGGCAAATTGTATTACAGTTTAAAGAAATATGAGAAAGCCATCGAACACTATAAGCTAGCATTACAGATTGGCAAACTTTCGCTTCAGTATACACATCCAAATCTAGCAATTATCTATGATAATTTAGCCATGTCTTATAATAAACAAGGGCAGTTGGAAGAGGCACTGGAGTGTCGTAAGCAACTACAGGACATCTACTCGAAAAACACGCGACTTAATCGTCGCAAAGTTATCAAATGTGACATATGGATTTATATGTCATTGAGTATAAGATTAAAGCAGCCAAGGCAAGGGGGAAACTACTGATTTAACTCAGCTGAAACTCAAAATAAATCACTCAAACTCATTTTAGATCACTAAACTCATCCTAACTTATTTTAGATCACTAAACTCATCCAAACTCATTTTAGATCACCAATTTTAATTGAAAAAGTTTTTTTCCATTCTCACAATACAATTGCATTTAACAGTTTTATTCAACTGACATCTTAAGTTTTCTAAATTTTTAACGAAAATAAAGAAAATCATGCTAATTTAGCTACAATCACTGAATATTATTTTTGCATCGTTAAGCGTCGAGTGTATTTCTTTCTTTTCGATTAAGTTAGTAGCCATGTGCTTTTACGAACAGTAACATATCTTAACGAATGTTATTAGTACATTTTTCGTTAGAGTAGAATGAAGGAGAGAGATCATGAGAGACATAGAGAGAAAATTCATCCTTCGTCGTGTATGTAACTGAAACAAAATTATCGAAAATTTTACATTTGTTTCTGTCCTATATTTCTTTACATTCATTATTTTCATCTAACCATCGTTTGTCTAACATATCTTTTATTTGTTTGTTGTATGTTTATTAGTCGGCATGATTTTCATTTTGCACGTTTGTCTTTATTCATATAAACATGATCCATGTAATGAATCACATAATTTTGAGCACTTTTTTCCTGAAAAAGAAACGAAGAAGAATGAAAACTTATAAAATAAATTTAAATTACTTTTCCATTGTCTCTAATAGATCACTTGACTTGCCAATCACTGTTCACTCTTTCATATTGTTTCTTCACTTTTTGAATGTGTTTATTTTACTTCAATTATTTCGAAAAATGAACGGATTCCTTTTATGCTTTTAGGAACAAAAATATAAACAGAAATTTTACCGACAAAAGGCCGAGAATGATAATGTAAGTTTTACATTTTCTATCAAGTCTATGAGAAGCCAGAATATTGTGCATGGCAGCGATAGACACGAAAAATTAAGCACATAAACAGCAAGAGAAGTACAAAACATTCTAAAAGCTTTAAGCAACCGTTCTACTCGAGACATCATTTTCACTTAGCCATGTCATGAGTTAGTATCATTGTCATGTTGACGAATTGAAAATATCAGGCAAAAACATATACTAGCTTTGATTTTCATCTTTCAGTTAGTTTCACAAATTGATCGAATGTCGGTAGACATTAATCATCTAAAAAGTGAAATTTCAAACCTAAAATTGGACCATCTATTTCGATCAAATGATTTAAAAATTGAAAATAACAATTAAAAAAATGAAAACAAAAACCTAAGAATTCAAATAAAAAAATCAGAAACACGATTCAAAGCTATTCCACGGCAATATAAAATGGAGATTGATACTTTAAAATATAGATTAATTAAAGCTCAAATAAATAGAAAAAAGAACGACAACGTGTTCAAAAATCTCTTCGTATTCGTCGAATTTTGTCCGATGATGATAAAGATTAATAAATCCAGATTGACGATGACGGACTTCGAATACGGCTGTAAGCGACCGTATACGCTCCATATACGACCATGAGCGGTCGTATTTTAGCGTTTTACATGGCCCAGTATTACAGTCGCATATCGCCGTGACCGTAAACGACCATTTTTGTCTCCGTATACGGTTGTTTACGACCGTGCTTATTTAACCTGGGAAGGTACAATTTCGATTTTCTGTAATAATTATTGCTTGCATTTTTCTTCCATTTTAAAGATTAAATTACTCGTTTAATAAAAACAATTACAAGAAAAAAAATATAAATGTCAAAAACATTTAAAAAAATGATATTCGTTGATTAGCAGTTTGTTGTTTGGTAGGTATCGCTGCTAATAATTCTTTGGTTGTAATACAAATGTTTTCATAGTTGTCTTCCATTATCAAATAATCAAGAAGATGAATTTTGTCAACAATATGTATGGAAGTACAACGTACCACAAAGGTTACTGGTGTAAGACTCAATTCAAAATAGAATTTATATTGAAAAAAAGGGCGATTTTCTAGAGGAATAGCAACAAGTGTTAGACCGTATTCCAATATCACTGGTATGAATGCTATTCAAGGAGGGATACATCCTTGACTGTGCTTAGAGAATGTTTTTATCACACAATAGTCTTCTGGTAACCATGGAATTGTATAACTAATGAGTATGAGATCTCACGTGTTCTTAAATGCTACGCATGTAGTGATAACATAAAATTCCAATAGTAAATGCCTCATAGTGACAGAGATGTCATAATATCCTAACACTGGGTATCGTTGACATACCAGTCACGATATCCATTCAAGTGGATATCTAAAATGGATACTAAAATGAATACCCATGTTCCTCATAGCTGAGGAATTTGAGTGCATTTGGTGTAACGAGAATGGGTATCGGAAATGGATACCCTATTGTAGAAATACGCGACTTTATAATTATAAATAAGAAAACGTGATGCTATGTTAAAATTTAATGTATTCATGTAGTCAGCTTTATGCCAATGTTTATCGATATGTACAGATTTGTTTAATGAGTATTGCAGATAGCGTGCAATTCCAAGTAAATGTTCGTTGAAGAACTTCATTTTTACCTGATAACAATTTATTACGACTTTCATCAAAATCACTCAAGGAAATCGGGTTGAAACTGTAGCATGCTGTGTAGTTGGTGTTGTTGTGGATCGTCACACGCATGTTATTTGAATTGTGGCTTATATTAATTTGTTTGAAGTAGGACCTGACAGTGGGAAAATTTCCGGTACCCAATCTCGTTACACCAAATGCACTCAAATTGCTCAGCTCGGAGGATACGTAGATATCCATCCAACTGGGTATCTTATCTGGGTATTCATCTCGATACCCAAGTTGTGGATATTATGACATCCCTCTAAGAATACGAAAGCAAACTGCCATGTTGTCAAAATGGACTCGATACCCATCGAATTAGGCTGTCTACAGTTTTAAAAATAGATAGCCCTAGTGAACTGCTGTGGAGATGCTCATGAAATACATGAGCATTTGAAGCAAGAGTATTATGCACTGTGGACAAGTCTGGAGGACTGCGCATTTCATGAGCGTAAGAAAAACATTCTACGTAAAAAGTGGTAGTTTTGAGTTCCAATCACTATTCAGATCGAATATTTTTCTCTTGGCTATAATTTCGACTTGTGAAGTTATATCTAATGTTTTTAATCGCAATATTAACGAAATTCTCTCTCCTGTGGCGTCGCTTTCTTGAGATTCTTGAACAAGAACGTGATGTGCTATGGACAAATATTGATGTCTGCACAGATCAAGCATATGAAAACAGAAGTTCCCATAGTAAATGCTTTTCCTCATTAGCTTAATACAGCTTTTATAGTCACGTGATAAAGCAGCGCCGCTTTGGCACTGAATTCTATGAGACTTTCAGGGCTGGAATGAGAATCATAGAGGTTAAGTACGAATTTCGGGAATGTCATTCGTTATTATAAAAGTTCCTAGAATCCATCGAATTCCACGATTTTCATGAGATTCCCGGGATTCCGGGAATCCTGAATCCACCTTTCCTCCTTGGTCGTAAGCCTGTTAATGGTCATGTTTTGGTTGAAAAATAACAGCGGCTTGACTACTGAGAATGTCGCGTATTAGTTGACGAGTCAAAATTACGATACTAATGCAAATATGTAGTGCATGCATCAAAAAGCTTCCATGAAAATATGGTCGCGTCATTTGTGAAGTTTTTATAATTATATACTTTTAATTATACGATAGATTGCATATCAGTTATGTTTTGTCTCATAAAAATGTTAAGAAAAGTGTCGAACGCAACTTCAATATGAACATTAATAAGCTTATCTAAAAGGGCAATAGAAACATGTACGCCACTGTCGAGCGTTAATTAGCTTACGATACATTTTAATGCTTCATTCCTTAATACAACTGGGTAGAAAAGGAATATAGAGAATACATCCTATTCCGCAATGTTGAGCATTCCGGAACCAATTCCGCTCACGGAACCAATTCCATCTAATTCCCGGAATTCCTTTTATCCCTTCCGATTCAATTTCATCTAATTCCCGGAATTCCGTTTATCCCTTCCGATTCAATTCCGGAATTACACAGAATCCCTACGGATTCCGCATAAATCCCAGCGGTTCCGGAATTTAGCGCGCCCACACTGACATCCACACCCACAATTATCGCAACGCCCACATTTGACACCCAACACCATGCAATTCCGGTACGGAATTCCGGGAATCGGACAGTGTTCATATTTGATCTAATCCCGGAATCGACGGAGCTGATTCCGGGGCGGAACTGGTTCCGAAATGTTCAACATTGCGGAATAGGATGACTGCTCGGAATATATAGTTAATGGGATGCGAAGCACCAGCATTAATGCGATCGATTGCGACTTTTTTTTTCTTTTTTATCAACTAGTTGATAAAATGGGTATTTGATAGAATAGAAAAAAAGTACCACGAAGTCTTTGTTAATACTCCGACCACATCAACAGAATAGATTCTGTTTAAAGTGAGAAACATGGATACATAGTCATATTTCCAGGCTAATTTTCTGTTCTTTTTTACAGGATTGATTACCGTACTTATCATTCCATATTCACTTCACTACAACACATATTTTTTTTACTGTTTTTGAAGTTCAACAAATAATTTAAGATATCTGATTTAATTTGATACTATTGAGCAAATAAAATTTGCTTCAACTTAATATTTCTCATCAGATGGATACTTGAGTGGATATAGCCGCATGACTATGCGCACCTGAGTATACATAGCCACTTCCTTTCTTTTAGAGTGTATCATGCTTTGATATTTTTTTTATCTCTAAGAAAGGACAAAATCTTACAAAAACATTAGCAAGGTTGGAATGTACGCTAAAGATACTTGCATTTTAGATTATTTCCAGAATGAGGAAAAGTCGATGGCTTTTGGCCATGGCCTTTCCCTGGTGAAAGCCCAGCCTTTAAGGCTTCAAAATAAAGTGATCATATTCTAAAAGTTGTGATTCAAGTAAAATAAAATAAAAGTTAGATAATTG